CATCCAAAGAACTTCTATAAACACCAGACCAGGAGACCTGCGTTTATTTTGCCAAAATGTGTTCCCACACCAGGCCAGTAAACAGGGTAGGTGGCTATTTGGGACTCTGTTATTAATTGAAGATTTACGGTATTTTAGTCTCATAGATACATGAAGGCAGAACCTTCCATAAAGTGTAAGTAAAAAGAAAAGAAATGGTAGGTAACACTAAGAACCTGATAATTAATTCATTGTTAATAAGTAGTTCCTGAATATATGAGTTACAGATGATGATGGAGAATTACTAGAGAACAGACTGGGAGATATTGTATTAATAATCATTACATAATGATTAGTTCATAATATCATACTTGACATACTGACCACTTTCTCCATGAGTAGTTTCTGATTAACTCTGAATCAGCCTCTGAGTTTATTAGCTCATTAGTAACTCTTTTTGAAGTAATGTGGGGGGGTACACAGTGGCTGATTCAGAGTTAATCAGGAATGACCCATGAAGAGAGTGGTCAGTTTGTCAGTTCAGAGATATTTATTAGCTAATCGTTACCTAACAATTTGTTAATGTATGTGGACTATTGCCAGTTGAACGTTATAGAATCTGTAGCATGAATGTTCACATATAGTTTAAAAATCAGTTTAGTATGTGACACAGCAGGTCATTTGAGGATAGAGACCTTTTGATTAAACTAGGTTGTTTGAAAAGAAAAGACCAACCACAATAGAAGGAAACTTCAAATGAGTCATTAGAAGTTGCAAGAACCAGTTGACCGGGAAAGGATCACAGATAGGCAAAATAATCCGGGAAGTGTACGCAGTCAGTAAGTGGACCCTGTTTCACTGAGAATGTTCCTGGCAGGAAACCAGGATTGAGAATAACAGGAAGGAGCATTAAGAGTTGCCAAAATCATTTTGTTGATTATGGACAACGGGTAAAGCTGTGTTTTTACCTAATAAGGATTTAGTTACTGCGCAATTTGTCCATCCTCTCGAATCATCCTGACAGGTGAAAATGCCCTTTAAACAAGACTAAATTCTTTAATGGATATGCCTCCCCCGCCCCCGACCTTTTGAAGAATATTTAATATCTGAAGTCATTTTTAATCTGGAACAGAAGTGTTTTGTCCTAGCATTTTATTTGATCCCTTTATAAATATTTCACCTTTTCTTATTCTGTAAATAAATATCATTTAATAATTTGTAATCAGTCTAATCGATTATTACTTTCTCTGAGGGGAAACTAAAAAGTCACATTTGGTCTCTCTATCTGTTCTCTAGAAACTTTCCATTATCATCTACTAGTGGTTCTCCAACTTTTCTGTCAAGCCCCCCTTTAGAATCCAAAAAAGTTCATGCCCCCCCATTCCAGCAAAAGTGGATTTAATTTTTATCAATCATTAACAATATAATAAATTATATAAAATATATTAAATATAAAATATAGGCGACTGAAATAAACAAGATTCAAGTTTTGTTTGTCACCACATGAATCATATTCATGCAAATTTAGGTCCACCCAACATCCACACCCCCCCTGAAGTTGCTCTACGTCCTATCCAGAGGGGGCCAGTCCCCCAGTTTAAGAAACCACTGAACTAAGTAGTCCTCGATTCTGAGATATTTAGGAGCTACTTAATATCAGGTCATTCCTGATTGGTACCTCACTCTTTCCTGAGTAACTACTTACAATTTTTTGTACCGTATTGTAAAGTGTCACAGCATGGCTTGTTAAGAAATCCTTTAAAATCACTCTGTCCAGCACAAACATTGTAGTGACCACTTTAAAAGGATCCTAGGAAAAGGACCCCTTTATTGATATCGTTATGACTGTATGTAAATGTGTCTGTGTGCAAGCATGCATAATTATGTCTGTCAGTCCCACTTCATTGCGGTGTAATGTTACAACAGTTGGAGATGTGTATTTTCCAAATATTATGGTAGCAGAGTAAGTTGCCCCATTGCACTCCAATAAAAATAAACTCACCAGGGTTCCAGCTGTAAGCCCAGAATTCATACAGTGTCAATCACATAATCGCCCTTTCAAATTTTTAGAGTAATTTCACTGAGGTTTGGGATATGAGCTCATTTATAAATGGGCTGCAGATCAAACCGACAGCTGGGGGAATCGTGTCATGTTTTAATTATCATTTAACAGGAATGTTAAGTGTATGCTCAGTACCATGCAAGAAAGGAAGTGTAAATTTCCTCTTACTCTTTTTAGTTCCCAACACCTTAGAGGCAGCTGAGTGTACTATTATAAATCGATATTGATATAAGTGTCATATTCTACAAAGACACAACTTCCTATGAATTGATAGTGTATGCCGTATCAGTCATTTGTGAGTGATACAGCCATCCTCCATATAGAATAGACATTGGAAAACAACAGTAAATAGCAGCCTGTCCAATCATTATTAACTGCTTTAAAATTACAGTCCTATTTTGTTCACAAAGTGATGAGATTATTTTGTCCTACTTATTAATTGAAGTGAAATTGGACAGAGTGACTCACAGCAGTGTTACTGGAAGGTGTCAGACACAGAAAGCAGGTAATTATGAAGACAGGAGGAGATAAGGAAACAGAATGCAATTACCCTGGCAAGCAGAGCTTCAAATTGCTCCTCTTAGGATTTCTCACCTCAGGTTGCTATTGTTCATGCTTTGCATCTCTATACTGATCTTGATTCCTTTCACCCTCTAGCTCAAAGAAGAAGGAAGGTTTGCATTAATCAAGTGAATTTCTACTGTAAGTAGAGCCATACAAAAACACGGCTTATTGCCAAATTTCAACTATACTTTCTCAAATCATTTTACGCACATAAAGTGCTGTGAGCTCAGTCTAAATCAGGGCCATCAAATGTTTTCAAGGCTGTTAACAGTTTCACAGAATTTAGTTTCGTTCAACTTTTAGGTTTAAGGGCACGGTTCAGATAGATTTTCCCTGTCTTTGTCCGCCATACTACAACTGCACTATTGTTGCAGTCATGTCCCCATATATAACATGCATTGCCTGTTTTTAAGGATTTTATTAATGACTAACACATAAAAGCAGATATACACATAAGAAAATGTATATAAATTTAAAAATTCCCTCTCCCAAATCCCCTCCCTAGTGTACAAGAGATAAATTGCACATTGCTGCTTGTACTGTAAAATAAAATTATATGTAACCATGAAAAAATAAAATATACAAAATGTAATTGCAAGAATAAACATTGTCCTGCGGTTGCATATGTAGAGAATTCGAACGTTGTTTCTGTTGTATAAGGTACGTGTTTTTATTTCTTTAAGAAAGCCAAATACTTCCATGCTGCTGTTTTTGAAGGAAAAAGGACAGTTTCTTCTGCTCCATTTGCTCAAACTCTGTAGTGCCCATTTTGTTCCTTTAGCCATTTGTTTTAGCATTTAGGTGCTCTCTCAGTCTGTGTCTCACACTCTCACTCTCACCACACACACACATATTTGACAGAAGATCTCAAATTGAGAGAGAGAAAATTCCTCAATCTAGTCTTTTTAATCAAAATGCCAATATGAACAGACAAGCACATTTTCTCCTTTTTGAATTAGCTGGGAGTAGTAAAGTATGTACAAGAGCATGTTGGTGAAATCTTGCACACAGCACGGGGTGTTGTTGATGCTCAGAGTGGCGCTTCAGGGCTGGATTCACTGCACATGTACTCACATTTACTGTGACTGTATATAGCAAAATGTACTCCATTTAGGCTCCAATACACGGGGGGTCTACCAGTGACCCTCAGCTTCTCACCGTGTGACTGCCGGCAATGGAGCCAGTAAGCTTCCCTCCCCGACAGTTCATGTCTTTGCTGGGCCAGCCTACAGATCCATGCACTTTGGCTCAAATTGTTTACTAAAAATTCATTTTTGATCTGGTACTCTATATCAGTGGAAGTGCTTTTTGTAATTGCTGTATAGGTTTGATGGCCTGATAGGTGCCACTTAGTCAAGCTTCAGTTAGTAGCTGGAAATGATCATTGCAGACAGATCAAGTATGTGAGGGGAGTGCAAGAGTGTCCCCAAGTGCTTTTATGTAAATGGAAGTTGAAGAGCGGCTCTTCGTCGAGACTTAAATATACACTACTGTAAATGCTACTCTGTCTTTGTCAGGGATGTGTCCTCTGTTAACTGTTGTTTGTTCATATGAAAGGTTCAACACACCTCTCTCCAGAAGACCCCAGAGAGAAAAGGTGAGGTGGAGGGAGAGCTGGAAGCTGTAAGAAAATGTGGCAATCTCTTCATCAGAGTACAGAGAAAGTAGGACACATCGTAGGGATCAAGGTCGTAGCTCAATATATAAAAAATACCTCTGGATTACACAGGTCCCACATAAGAGGTTGAAGGAAAATGAAATGAATGATTGCTTCTCAAATATCAAAAATAAGACAGGACTCAGACAACATTATATTGTTTGGACGATTTGGCAGAATGGATTTTGTCCCAGTTTTGCTTTGTTTAGAGAAGGGTTGTCTTTACTTTCTTATTGAAAGGAACTGAAGCTATTTTTGCCCAGCGTTACAGCAGCATCACTAATATGAACACTGTTGTGGAAATTCATAGATCCCCCCCCACCATGGATTTAATAATAGAGAAGCAGGTCGTACTGAGTATTTTTGTTTTAGAGTGTTTGTTTAGCGCTTCCGTGTTCCTTCCCAATTGTTGCTGTTTTAACGCCCTCCAAATTACACCAAGGATAGCTGTGAGGCTCTCTTCTCATTTTCCTCAGTTAACAAGCACTCTGTTTATATATGATTATGCTTCTCTGCTTGTTTATTCTGCCTGGCTTTTTGAAATTACTTTGCCGATTTAGTTCAAGGTACAAAATGCACTAAAGGATTCACTTTGGCTCATTTGTTTTCTTTCTGTGGAGAAATATTTATGGTCATGTCAGCCATCGCTGCCGTCAAACTAGCTGATGGGGATAAACCTGTGCTCGTTCAACTCCCCTGTTTAGTATTTTGACGCTTATTCCTGTGTTTTCTTTGCAGCACTGCCAGTCATGCAGGTGACAATTGAGATTACCAGACAGCAGGTGGAGAAGATCTTTGGTCTTGACGAGTACTGGTGTCAGTGTGTCGCCTGGAGCACCACCGGAACCCAGAAGAGCCAAAAGGCGTACATCAGGATTGCTTGTGAGTGCATCATCTGTGTTATTACAAATGTAAATGGTGCTTCTATATTATATGTCAGTTTGTAACTGAGAGGACACTAGCACATTTTTTTCACATTTGGTGGTTGGGGAGGGACTAACTTTCAATCAACAATTAGCCCAGAGGCAATTATGATCTGATGCATCACAGTGTATTACTGTGATTACAGTTTAGTTAAATCATTATCCTGTGATTCTGCTTATAAGAAGAAAATATCTGACCCTGGCAGGCAGAAATGAAGAGTAATACATCTGCTTGAAGGCAGTATTTAAAAAAAAAAAAAGACATTTTTTAGTATTCATGAGCGTATCTTTCACTGGATACAGTACATCAGCAATGATCCCTATGAAAGTAACTGGAATAAAAACAGATTTGAAATTTATTGCTGTGCAGCAATCATAAATCTGTCTAGGGAACACAGACACATCCCTCGCTGCAGCCTCCAAAGCTTTATTAGAAGAAGCTATTTTACATTTGAGTATTTTAAAGCATTCTGCCTATTAATTCCCACATAAATATGCATTATTCCAGACAGAGCCCAACGTAGCACCCTCTCCAAACAACCAGACGTTTTGAAAACACACATTCATTATCCAACCTTGTTTGAGAGCTCAACAAAGTCAGTTTGATGTAAGATAAGGACACACACGCTTCAATAATGATGTGTGTGCATGCACGCACTGGTTCACATTCACTGTATTTTCATGCACAGACATAGACACTTGCATACTTGCATCTTAAGTTTCCTCCAGTCCCATTTTATCAGCTTTAATTAAATTGAATGTCGTGAAAGTCTCCGCTTGTCTTAACATTTATCTCAGTATGATTGGTCAGGACAGGCTGAACATCTGTTTAAAGGAATTCAACGGTGGCCCACAGCCGCACCCCTTAGCCCCTCACAATACAATAACACATCCTGAGTCAAAACCCGGGGTGAACGCATCAAATTTGTGCCAACCTGCCAGCTATCGGTGGCCTGTCTTGCTCGTCGGATACAAACAGCCTTGCACTTATTTCCCCTTGTAAGAAATCAGCATTGCCAGTTTTACCTGCGTAATTGACAGCTTGGGCTTATGGACAAATATATAGCAGGACTCTGTGCAACAGTAAGAGTATTCAATGAGACGTAATGTGAAGCTCCATGCGGTCAGCCAGGCTTGCAGGAGCTCTTGTCCAGGCGCCTCAGGGCTTTGTTTTCGTGTGGCTGCTCCAAGCCCTCATACAGATGGAAGCTGGAGGCTGCCGGATGCTGGAGAGAGGAGAGTGGGTGGGAGGGGAGGAGTGAGGGGTAATGCAATTGCTTTTGCTTGATGCCGGGCCCCTCTGGCAGCAGACAAGCATCTCTGAACCAGCCAGGCAGCTTGTAATAAGCAAGATGGCTGGTGCCACCGATCCTCGTGTGGCTTAGGGGCCAACTGGAGTGCGACAGGCTCAGCAAGGCCATGGGTGGATATTTCAAGAGTGGAATATTTTTAAACATCATCAGGCCAGGTTTTGTGGATAGAAGTATATCATTCAAACCTCACAAGCTCTTACAAATATCCTAATTGGTTGTTTCTCCCTGTCTTTTTTTCCTCAGACCTGAGAAAGAACTTTGAGGAGGAGCCGCAGGGTAAAGAGGTGGCATTGGACCAGGAGGTGTTACTGCGCTGCCATCCCCCCGAGGGAGTGCCACAAGCCGAGGTGAGACACAGATACAGAAGATATTTATAGGCCCACATATAGCATCCATTTACCCTTTCCTCACCAGGAGGACAAAGAGCAAAAAGTTGCTTAGGATCAGCTCCCCGGCATGTCTCCCTGCTCCACCAGGGAACAGATAACCCTGTACGGATAAATTACACCTCTAATTATTCCCCTATATTGATTTATTATCACTCTTACATCTCAGAGAAGCCGTATATATCACGTTGTCTCGTCACATCACTCAGGATAGGCTTGGAAGCTTCACTCTCCATTTGGCATCTCTAAAGGCCTATCCATAATTAATGGGTCTATTTTCCTCACTCTCTCTCAATCTCATTCTCTATCTCTCTGCCATCTCATGTACTATGTCTCTCATACACTCTCGTCCTGCTCAAGTCTCTCTCTCTCTCTCTCTCTCTCTCTCTCTCTCTCTCTCTCTCTCTCTTTCTTTTACTGTGTTCACGTCTCTTGTGGTGCGTGTCTGTGTTTAGAGGACCAGACTGGGGCCAGCTGTTTCACCTCGTCTGCTGCATCCTCCCAGTCCCAGATAGGCACTAACTGCTTTAATAACAACACAAGAGGAGGTTAGGCCAGCCACTCAGACAGCCCAGAGACCAGGAGCAGCAGACTAGCCAATCACAGCTCGACAGTGTAGGGAGAAATAGGAAGGAAGGTGCCAACTGCAGTTCAAAAGAAAAGAACATCAGAGCAGAAGTCACCACAGGAGAAAACGGGGATAGCGCACAAGAGGAAGAAAGCCCAATTATTCGCGGCATTGCAACTGGCAGTAATACTGACAACAATGCTGCCATACCGTAGATACACTCAAGACGAGATGAGGTCAAGTGAGAGCAAGAAAACAAGCAAGCCAATCTGATAGTACACCAAAAAAAGGAATGACATCATTTTTGGCTTCTGCAAGAGAGCGCAGAAACTACACAAAGCATGATTGGTTTCACTCACAGATCACCAGCAGTTACAGAGGTCTCCAGCAGCTACAAAATAAAAGCTTCATTTCCCACACAAAACGAGAAGACATATTAAAATTAGAATGGTGTATAGATAAATTAATTCCATCTCAACATCAGTATCACACCAGGTTACATTCTTTTTGGCAGTTTGATTGCATCAAAAACAGAAATACCTCGCCGCTTTTCCTGTCCATGTATCTCTAATACACAGCATATCTGGTCACTGTAAAACTGCATGGGAGGGGGGAACGGTTTCTGTTCAGTTGCAGTGAATTTTGACAGCTGAAACATTTTTTCAGGTGGAGTGGCAGAGAAACGAGGATGTTGTCAACCCAGCAAGTGACCCCAATTTTTTCATCACGGCCGACCATAATCTCGTCATCAAAAAAGCGCGGCTGGCGGACACAGGCAACTACACGTGTGTGGCCAAAAACATTGTCGCTCGCCGCAAAAGCACCTCTGCCACGGTCCTAGTCTATGGTAGGTGAAACTTCCTTCAACAGGTGTCAAAGCTGTGTACACGGTAGCCATTGAGAGGTCTGAGCTCAGATGATCCCAAGCTTCAACATATACAAACCATACAAACATAAAAACAGCTCTAATGAATCATGCTTGCATGTTGCTTCCGTTATCCCACATTTCCACATTAACCTTTGCCTGTCCTCATACATGGAAGATACCTGGGTGTACTACTTGTGGTGTTAATGATATATTCAGATTCTACAGTGTAGTTTTAAGAATAACCGTATGCAGTGTTGCACAAATGTGACCTATATATAGTATCAACTTGCGTAGGTCAGCTCTATTTTTCAGTAATAGTAGTAATAGATTACATAAATAACTACATGAAGACATAGTAGTGGATCTGCACATTAATTAGCACAACTTAAAATGTTATTGGCAGCCATTCTGCCAAAGCTGGCAGTCTCTAATCGCGGGGCTGCCATCCTTCTCCTCCTCTGTAGTGAATCCAATATGAGAAGAGAAATTGAATTAAGTGCAAACTGTAAATAATGTCTTGGCTTGATAAGCAGACTGATCTTTATTAAAATGCAGAGAAGCAGCATATTTTCTATCACAGAGGGTTCCTTGGGTACTGGCACGCCTAAAGTTTTGCATACGTTACAGCTTTACTTAAATCTCAGCTACATGCATACAAGAGGTGGAAATCACGTGGGAATGCATCATGAAAGCAACTTTGTGTATGAGAAATGCATAATCTGGTGCAAATTCTGCCACAGGTTCTGTTTTTGTTGAGGCTGCCAGAAAAAGACGATGCTGCGATGTGTGATGAGAGTTCATGTGTATTATCTGACGTGTCAGTATTGCACAAATATAAAGCACTATGTAGAAACATGCATACCTCTTTGCAGAATTTGTTCTGCTGTAAAATTATTTTAATGATTCTATCTATTTAATGATCTATACATTATTTTTATTTCACAAGGGATGCACTGTATGCATATTCCTTGTGAAATCAACATCTCAGTGGGAATAACTTCATCAAAATATAATCTTATGCAGTTCCCACATTAGTTTCCCTTTTCGGCTAACAAAAGCGCTCAATGAAATCTCAATGGATTTTAGGGTGTAGGATGAATTCAAATTCAGAAAACATGGACATGAAAAAAATTTTGCCATATAAAGAAATACACGTCTATAGAGTAGAGAGGTTAACTAGAGTGAGAAAACGCCTGCATGTATTACATTTGATTTGTACTGTATTTTTAAAAAAACATTGTTGTAATATGTAAAAATTTAATGGATGATAACAGAGATCAAGTATTTAAGAGTAAGAGTATTTAAGATCATAACTAAACAATTAATTAGTTATTAATTTCCTTTTAGGCTAATTTAAAAAAAAAAAAAACATTGTGCAGACCCTGGAGGACGTTTGAGTAGTGCTTGTATCGCTGCAAATGTACTTGAAAATTGAGGCATGTGCGATTTCATGGTGAATGGTAACATGTCAACTTGGAGCATGCTGTCAAAATAAACATTATCATACACTCTTCCAAGCCCCCAGCATAAAACTAAAGAAGTGCAATTGTTCTTACTGTTGATTATAATTGATTAGCTTGTTGTTGAAAGACTTGCTCTGCAGATGGAGAAATGTAAAGTTGAAATGACTGTGGAGGCAAGAGCATTCCCACTTTATTGTTTGCCTTTCTTGTATTGTCAAACAATAATTTTCACTCTCAGACCAGCCAAATTGTGAACAAATTGCTGGGGGCCTGCATGTGCAATTGTATTTCTTCCCATCACTCTATGTGCTTGACAAGATGAGAAATGTTACTACCATTGTAATATTAATTGAGGTTAAATCACAGAAGAAGTGGCCTTGTTTATATAAAAAAAAAAAAAAAAAAGACATGTCCCTGCTGTTCACTTACAATGCTCTATAGCAGAAAATAAAAATTAATTTACCTGAGAGGATCACAGTCCACCTGATCTAGCTAGCTGTAGCAAGTCATAATAAACGCTACTTTTCAAAGGGGGTTCAACAGGGGGCCAGAGATGCATTTTAACAAGGCCTGGCTGGTGTGACTGCACTCTGTGCTAAGAGGTAATCAGGGGCCGAGTTGCCTGGCAATTTACCTCACCGCGGCGGGCAATCAATCGCATAGAGAGGGCAAGGAAATGATTCAGCCACGACAAGCACAGGAGAGAGTTAGGGGGAAATTAGGAAGGGAGTATGTACAGAGAAGGAACGGCAATGCTGTTCAAGTCAATAAATCAGGAATCTCTGTATCTTGTAAGCTGTGGCAAACACAGGAGATACAGGAAGGACCTGACTAGGATTAACCCAGCGTGATGTGATGTAATCAACTGCCATGATCGAGGGATAGGGAAGCAATTATGTGCCAATAGACTGTTAAGGTTCAGAACATAGGCACTGATTCAGCAAGTGGCTGAGTTTTTTGAAAATATTCTTTAAATTATACAGTGGTGTTCCCTACAATTCAAAGAGTACTTGAGTTTGAAGAATGGCATGTAATGATGAAAATAATCTTTATTTATAGAGAATTTTTCAAAAGCCATGTTACAAAGTGCTTCACATTTAAAGTCATGTAATGGTGTGCAATCAGTGGTGGATGTGCTGTGAAGGACGCATTCTGAATTACTGGAACAGCCATGATATATTTATTTTTCAGTAGTGTGTTGGCATTTCCAAGGATTAGGTGTCGTTTTTTAATGCATTTATGACCATAGACATTTTGCTTTAAATGGCATTTCTTCTATAATGTCTTGCGTTACCTTGGTAAAATTTGGAGGGGTATTGAAAATGTCCACTAGTTATTTTGCAGCAACTGTCTTCCTCAGAGATAAGGTCAAAGATGGCAAATTGTCAGGTTATTTTCTGCTCTCTATTGAAGCCATTTTGTTTTCACTGCAGTTGGCTGTAATTCCAACTCGGACGCAGGAAGCAGCCCCCTTTGCTCTTGCTCTTCCAAGAGTGTAACAGCAGTCTCGATTATTCTAGCGCAGCAAACACCTCTTTTCCTTAGTGCATGTCGGGTAATCCTGGCTGCTCTGTCCCTTCATCCATCCAACCCTCCCTCCCTCCCTCCAACCTTCCCCCTCCCTCACCCCTCCACCCCCGGTGCTGGTCTGACAGTTAACGGCGGCTGGTCCACGTGGACCACCTGGTCGTCCTGCAGTGCTGTGTGTGGGCGTGGCTGGCAGAAGAGGAGTCGGAGCTGCACCAACCCCACGCCACTGAATGGAGGCACATCCTGTGAGGGGCAGAACGTCCAGAAAAGTGCCTGCGTGGCCACCTGTCCAGGTAACTCCCAGGCAACCCTGTTTGTCCTGTGGCGCTTGGCTTCCTGTGGCTTCCCTTTTGCATTTTTTTGCATCTAGAAGTCATCAATTCATCTTTATTTTGGATGCCTTTTGTACCAGCACCCAGGTCCTTTCTTAGATGCTTCTGTTGTTTCCTGCAATTAGACCGTTTCACACAGAAATTTTGGAGCCTAATAGTCTTCACAGTGAGACCTCATTCTGAAAGTGATTAATTATTATCCGTCTTTGTTCACATATCTCTTTATCTTCTGCTCTGACGCAGAACCTGCTTTTATTTTAGAGACCCGTCTGCTTTAAGAGACATGGTACCAGCCATGGCATTGTGTCAGACCAGCTAGTACATTTGTTATTGTTTGCTGTTCAAGCTATGTAGTAAATATGGGCAATAAAAAGCTGAATTATGGCGGACTGTGTGCCATGTTTTCGTGTGAGAAGTTGAGGGCGTTTCATTTGCCTGCCCGTCCTCCCTTGTGAGAGTGTCGGAGAGGCAGAGAGTGTCCTGCCTGATACTGAGCAACACATATCGATCTCTGGTAGCCTGAGATGGAAGTCAAGCTGCTTCATTTGCAGTCCCACATTAGTTCCCTAACAGAGGGAGAGATAGCAAGGGTGGGAGAGCAAGAGAGGAAGAAGGAGGTGTAAGGTGAAAGCAGGGATAGAGACAGATGGAATCAGAGACAGTGTAAGGAAGAAACAACAAAGCCCTGAGTGACTGAGAAAAACAGAAGAAATGGAGAAAGCCTGAGCGTGTACGAGAGCTGGCTGTTTGGATGCCAGCAGATCAGTTTGTGGACGTATAGCTGGGGCTCTGCAGCCATGCTGACCGCAGGAGAAATCTCCCACGCTCGGTAAACAGCAGAGAGGGAAATCCAACACCCCTGGCAGTGGCAGCCTCTCCCTGCCTAAAACAGAGGTTATCTTCCTCAGTGGATCAGGGCGTTGGGTAACACATCTCCCATGTAAAGACATCACTAAATGTCAAGCGTGAGTGTAAGTAACATGGCCCGCTGGAATAAAGCTGGAGGAGGAAGACAAAGGAAACACCGAAATGCATGACGCTCCATCAGGACGCTATCTGGATGGATTTGGAATTATTAGCGCTGGAGCAACGAGTAATGGAATTAGAGGGGTGTCCAGGGATGCTTGACATTCCTCCAAAGCAAAGCAGCATACTGACCTCCATGAGCTTAAAGAGATTAATGTCAGTCCAAGCTGCTATTGTTAGACCAAACCCCGCCCTCCTCTATTTTTCTCTAGCCCCACAAGGAGAAAGTGTGTAATTTCAACCCTTAGGGTGCTGTGACAGAAATTGCATTGTGCCCTGTGAACAACAGTTTGCAGAGACTTTGGGAGAGAAAAACTGCTACTCTTTTTTTCTCTTGATGAGAGACGTTACAGCGATGTGACCCGGCTCACACCTCTATCAGTCCTGTTGTTTGGCAACAGAGGGTAGTCTCTGCCTCCTTTTCTCACTCGTTACCTGTCTCAGACAGATCATCAGTGGCACAGACGGCCCCAGATGTCGGATTCCGGAGAGGGTTCCTCTCAAGGCCGTAGTTCACCACGCCAGAGCCTGGGGATGATGGGCTGTTGTTTCCAATCACAACTGACACCACGGCTCTGTTGTGTACTCACAGACATGCCTCTGATGTCCCCCAAGATGAACTGACTGCTCCCATCATTTGTCACCCAGCACACAAACAGCCCCAGCAAAGACAACCCCCAAATACATCTGAATCATCACTTTGATTAATCAAATACACGATTAACACGTGTGAATCATCAGCCTGAATAAATGAATAGATGCTCTCATATAAGAGTCATGTTCAGCAAGGAAGAACCAGCCTTGCAGAGCGCATCATTACATACTGGATAACAACTTTAATTATCACTGTGCTTATAGCCTTCACAGGTCTAATCCTCTAAATGCACAGTTGATGGTGATTTGAGCCCATATCAGAAGTAGCAGACTTAAGAAGAATGAATTACATGGGGAGATGTAATGCTGCAGATAGACATCATGTTATTTATTTAGACTCGGCTGACATTTGGATTCAGAAGTAGTGTTCTTTACTTTTTTTAATTCAGCCTTGAGAGGCATTTTTCCTCTACAGTGCCTTTTGGCCAGAGGAGCTGCATTTTATAAATTGCATGATTTAATGCTGGTCTTGTTTTCAGGAGTTCATTAATTATCTAGACTAAGATTCTTTGTTGATTATTAGCTCTCTAGTGCATTTTCTCTCTCAGCGTTTCATCTCTGAAATGGGTTACAGAAAAATGTTTTTTTTTTACTGCTTATTCTTTGTAATTTGCAGTTTCTGTTTTGTCTAAAATTGATGGCCTCACAGATTTGCTGAACTGCTCCTTTGGGGATAAAGAGATGTTGTCAACTGATTGAATGTTCGCTGGAAACAAATCTATTTAAATTTGGAACCAACAACATGCAATGGCTATAATTTGTCTCTGCATTGCCCAGATACGTCTATATATATTTCTTGTTGAAATGCCGATGGCCATGTGTTGTTCCACATTTAAAAAAGTAGCATGATTCCTTCAGAGCAGTGCTTAGCTACAGCCACAGAGCACATTTTCATACACATGTTTCATATGGGCTTCCACAGACAACTGCCTGCAGTAACAGAACTCTCCACATGTCTATTCACAGGGCTCTTGTATCTAAATGTGAGCGCCCACCTCATCAGGAAGCCAGAGAGGCTCATCTGTATTTTTGTCTAAGTCTCCAAAGTGTTTAATGAGAGTTGGCCGAGGCCTATGTGGCAGATCAGATGTGCTCCATGCTGGGAAAGACACAGGGAGCTATGGAGGAGGAGGAGGAGGCGGCGGCTGAGGCTAAAGCCTGGGGCTCAGAGCAGAGCAGATCAACACTTGAGACAGCCAGTAGCCAAACTATGCAAGAGCTTATCTCCATTTCTTTTTCCTCTCTCTGCCTTTTCCTTTCTCTTTGTCTCGATCTCATCATATCCCGCTGAAGTATCCCACATAAATCTGTAGTCCATCCCCTCACCCTTTCATCGACTCTGCCCCTACGCTGCCTTGTGGTCAGAGCAGACAGCCATGGCAAAATGTCACATTTCCAACAAAGACATGCTACCCGAGCCAACAGCAAATAGTTAGTCCCCAGTTTTGGAAGTGATACAAGACACCTGTCTCACACAGATTAATGGAACTGTTGCTGATCTGTTAGAGAACAGCAAACAACCTGAAGAGATTTCTAACTTGTGTGAATTATTTAAATATTGTACTGATCCCTCAGGCTTGCCAGAGGAGTCATGAGAATTCCACTAGATGGAAAGTAAACAGACTCGGGGCTGGTGTATTTGTGCATGCGTACTTGTAAGTGTGTGTTTCTGTGCATGTACATGTTGTACACATGCAAGTTAGCACCCATATGTCTACTGTATGCACTGCGGGCAAAGGTCTAATATTACTTTGGAATTAAACTTTCACATGTCTTTGGATATTATCAGAGATTGTTCTGGAGACTCCATATTTTATCCAAGGAATAAATAAAGGCTGCGGCTAATAAATGTGACAGAAAAACACATTAGTTCACTGCGAAAAGACGGTGGCCATCTGGTGACAGCCTTGCATCAGCACCGTTTTTAATCAGTCTGTGCCATTTGTTTTGGCTCACACTCTCATGTCTCATTCTGTCTCATTTTGGTTTGTTGTAATGGTTTAGTTAACATAAGGGAGTAGACACAGCTTTTATTCAGTTATTGATTACATACTAAATCATAACCACCAACAAAAATGATATTTCTAACTATATAAAATGTGTCATAAATACAGAATAATTTGGTTATTAATCTCTGTTGCATCACCTACTTCACTGGCTAAGCTATCAACCCACCCCCACATGTGGTTTTCTGTGGCTTTTGAACACTGGGATTAGGGGTGGTTACAGTGCACACATGTGTGCTGACAGGACAGTGGGAGCAGAGGGGCGACCTGCTGGTCTCAGTGGTACTTGTCTACCTCCTCGTGTTCCCCTCAAGGACACAGGAAACCATAGGTGTCCGATGATCTCGGACTGTGTCTGTCAGCAGCCATTGTCATTTTGAACAGCAAAGCCTCAAACAGGCCCACCTACCGACCTGTGAAGAATGGTCGGGTGCCTTTTGCTTCTCCCCTTGACAACATGTCCAAATGGGGGCTTGCCACTGGGCTATTGTATTACTGTCCCTCCTCAGAGACCTGCCTGACCTAAAACCTGTGGTGCTGCATGATTGAAAATCAGCTGTGGTGCCTTTTGCAGTAGCGCTAACAATCTCTTTCTGGGGATTTGATAAAGAAAACTGTGGCTGTGGATAACAATTCTCATATGTGGATTCTAAAATAGTGAAAGGATGAGGTTTGGATCTGATTTCAGCCTAAAAAAAAATCAAGGGAAGTGTCAATTTTCTTGCTTCACTGCATTTACTGTAACCACTTACTATTTTCCCACTTCCTTGTACGCTGTCCAAACATTTCTTTGGTCTCTGCTCATGTGGAAAGCCTCTTCTGAAATATTTGCAACATGTGTTCAGAGTCAGACAGGCCATCAAGAACTGTTTATGCATCTTCATCTTTCTTTGATTTTCCTCAGCCTTGGGTCGCAGTGCTTGTGTCTCATCCACATTTTCATGAGCAGCATGCACCCTGTTTCCACTCCAATCTCCATGTTTGAAAATGTTATTTGCATGGCCATTAGTCTTGATTTGTGGTGGGTAAGAGAAGTAGAATTTCATCCCCTCATCAGGGCAGATGTGGATCTCATCTCTTTATTTCGCAGTGGTGTGGATAAACTGAGGGGCGACATAATATATTCATTAGGATGTAATTCGCTATTCAATCATTCTCATTCCCAGCCTGGATAATGAGCCCACTGGCCCACGGATGGGTCCACTCAATGCCAAACAAGGACAATTATCTGATTGGTTCTGCTCTCTCTGCCAAATGGATCTGACTGCAAAGAGGCCCAAGCTGTGTCAGCATCCCACCACACACACTCACACTCACATTCTGTAGCAATCATTTGAGGACACAAACGGACAAACATGCAGACTTGTGCGGGAGCAGGGTCTAATTCACACACCTGTGCCTCTGGCCTAGTACGCTTACAGCGCCTCTTAGCTCATGTGGGGGACTCGCTCTAAAACCAAATAACATCATTACTTGGTACAGTTATGCAATAATAGGTATCCCATCATGAGTAACATATCACTTATTTTTATTAACCAAAGGCTCTGATCTGAAGTGGGTCAGACCTGTTTTCTTGGGGTCATACCCCCTGCACTCTTTATTGCCAGGATTAATGAGCACTAAGGTTTCCTTGCCCTTAGGTCGGTCAAGAGCAGGTTACTGCTGTAAAGCTGTGTGTGTGTGTGTGTGTGTGTGTGTGTGTGTGTGTGTGTGTACATGAGAGCAGCTCTGGTGATTCTTGTCTGGTCCCCTTCACCCTTACATTTTGGAGAGAGAGAGTGCGAGCGAGACAGTGGTGTCTTTTCCCCATGAGAGCTCATTACTGCTCTTTTTCCCATTAGCTCTATGGTAACCTTCTCCAGACATGGTGCTGTGTCGCTGTCAATATCACTCCCAGTCCCCCCCACCCAACGATGCCAAATTACCCCCACCTTTGCAAAATGGCCTCCCTCTCTGCATGTGGTTTCCTACAGCAGGGCCTGCTCCAAACTATTACCAGCCCATATCTATTTGTTTCATTTTGCTGGTGCTGATGGTGGTGTGTTTGAAGTCATGCTAGACAGAAATAGGCTGCAGGTGTAATGCACATTAGTTTCTCTTCACAGTAATGCCACCTGTATAGTGTCTTGCAATATGCAGCAGGCAATGCTCATGTTGCTATAGTAATGGCTTATTTTGACAAAGAAATCAAACCATGGATTTGTTTCTTCTCAGAATTGTCCATTTTTTTTAGGGGCATTTTTAAATAGCGATGTTTGTGTGTGCATGTATGTTTGACAGTAGACTAGAAGGTCAATTTCCCTGTGCAGATTTAGGTTTTTGACAGCTGGGATTATCAGGTCACAGCACCTTCCACAGTACCCTCGTACCAGTGGGGTTTAGCTCAGTTGCATCTGATTTCCATGTTCCAAATAAACAAAGAAAGCAGAATAGAGACAATATGGCTCTCCTCAGGTGTTTTACACGCTTTGGTTTCCATGTGTGTCTGCTGGATTTGAGTGTGTGCAAGTGGATTTGCATGTCTTTTTATAATGCTTTTCTGAGCAGGTTTCCATTTTAGAGCGAGTAGATTTGCACAGGATGGCAACAGAGTAATGTACCAGTTCTCATCTCACACGAAAATACACCACTGCTTTTACACCGCTGTTGCATCTGAACTTCACCGTGTAGAGTTTTAACATTTCACACTGTTTGCAAAAAGGAGTTATAGTTTGTTTTATTGAAACTGTTTAGCATGTTTCCGATTAATTTTTTTTTTTTTACGTTTGAAGCGAATCAGTGTATTTACTGCTATGTTTGTGCTCACATGTGTTTTTTTTTATTTTTTATTGTGTGTTCGCAGTGGACGGAGGTTGGAGCGAGTGGAGCAAGTGGTCTGCGTGTGGTGCAGACTGTTCGATGTGGAGGAGCAGGGAGTGCACCCAGCCCTCACCTGGCACCGGGGGCAAAGACTGCCAGGGGCTTGACCTTCAGTCTCTCAACTGTACCAGCGAGCAATGCCCGCAGAGTAAGTGCACAACCCCCCACATACTGCAAACTACACTCTCAACCATTCAACTCAGTGAAACAATATAAAAGATACAGTACAAGGGTATGGTTTAACCACTTTTCTGCAACAGGATCAGTAACATGGAGATTAGTTATATATTTGCTTATTATACTGAGCTGATGAGTGTCAGATAGGGATGGGGAATCGATACCCGGTTCAAAAAGGACCTGGTTCCAAACTTTCTCAAAACCAATTAGGTCCGAGCTTATTGATACTGCTAACGAGACCAGCGGGTTCTATAATGTAACGTGATGTCTTAAGAGTCAAATCGGATTTAACTTGAAACGCAATGGATAAGAAAACTAATTTTGTTTAGTGATGGCACCTAAACGTGGTATTAAATGGGCCCGGGACTGCCTCTGCTGCTCTCTGTCGGCTCCTACACACGCACGCGCGCGCGCGCGCGCACACACACACACACACACACACACACACACACACACACACACACACACACACCGCCCAGCAGAGAGAGACGCCACTCCGTCGCGGTGGAGACGGTGAAGTTAAGCTACCTCCACACTACTCGTGTTGCCAACAGCTACGCTCGTTTCTGTAAATGCGTGCAATAAAACCTTTGCCAGTAAAAAGACATAGGGTACGTAGGGTAAACATGTAGAAAGGGTTCATTTAAACTGCTCTGTCCTCAGTGTGTCATCTTGTATGTTTTATACAAGCACAGCTAGCGTTAGCTTGGCATTAGCCAAATGTTACAAACAAGCTAAATAGAAAGCTGATTGTCTGGAGCATAGACTGGTCTGTAGTCTTAAAATTTGGCACATTGTTGTAAACTCAGCTGCTGGCTGAGACAAACCAGCTGCTCCTCCTTCTACCTGGTAACATTACCTACAGGCAGTGAATAACAGCAGAGAGGAGGAGGAAGAGGAGGGACTGATGCAGTCTTTGTAGAGTTTTTTTATTCTTTCTAAACATCACTCAGTATTGTGATGTCTGATATTGAGTTTATTTGCTGTTGTAAACATTAATGTTGCTGCTCTAGAAACAACATTTGTATTTAAAATATTAAATTCTAATCCTGTAATTAATTTAAAAACAACCAGGCAGTTAATATGTAGACATCAATATTTGTTTATTTATCACAAGTCATATGTCATCTCAATATATAACAATGTTATTGCACATGAAATGTTTTCCACATATCTTGCTGGCCCTATCTCATGCCCGCTGGGTCTCTTCTTACCAAATAACTGTCACCAAATAATAGTAAATAGATAGTGGTATCGATATCAGTAAAAATTTACGATCCCCATCCCTAGTGTCAGATGACATTTCAGTCTTACAACCTTCATCAAACACATCAACTAGATCACAAACAATACATGGAGAACAGATGTACAGGATTAGCATCAATTAGCCCCTGAACTACCTGGCAGGTAGAAAAGATTGGGAGGGAAAGGCTTTTCCCTTCATGCTTTTTGGCAAGAGGAGTGAGTGTCCTTCTCTTTTTATCAGGTCAGATAAATATTTTATGCCACCTCATGGCTTTGGCTTTCTGTGATAGATGTTGAGTACACCTTAGAAAAGATTCATAAAGGAAAGATGTCCATCTCATAAGATTCTAGTACTGACAGTAGGATTGTCTGTGGACCATTGCTCATCTCCACCTGTGTGACCTTTTTAAACGATGGGCTCTAATAAACCCTGGTATGACACCCGCTGCTAAGATAATACACAATCTTTTCACCTGCGTCAATGCTATGATGCTCCCTGACCTCTTAATAAAGCTGAGAATTAAATCATCTCTCTTCTGATTTAAAACACAAGCTGCCAGTGAAAGTGCCATGGGTCAAATCGTCCGTGAAGACACACATGGCCACCGTGCATGTGTGCTGTAGGTCATTTGCAGCGTGAATTTGTGTTTATGCTGTGCATTTAGAAAGCTACAAAGCCAATTGGTATTTCATTTTTCATGTAAAGCAGCCAGTACTTTGTTGTCACTATCTGTTTGTCATTAATAGGGCACGTGTACAAAGCTTGTAGAACTGGCAGCTGAATGGAAAGTGGCACCACAGGGTCCACTGCTGACCAGATGGACAGGAAGGGAGAGCTCTGTTGCTCCCTACAGATATCAAAGACAGAAAGAAATTGCAGCTTCTCATCCAGAAATGATGTGTTTCAGGGTGGCGTCTCATAGAGAAAATGTTATAAATAGTGCACTCTTTGGCTTATCTGCATGGTAAACACTGAGTTTTAATGGGGATTCAGTAGACATGGGCCAGTGAATTAACACAGTGAATTATGTATTTTGCACTTATTGACATGATCAAAAAGACCGATGCACGGAGAGTGGGGGGGATAGGGGTACTTTATGTGAATGTTGCATGTGTTTGCACTACGTTAAGTGTCAGTGTGTGTGTATGCATGTGCGTATGTCAGCCGTTAGCTGGGTTTGGCTGGAGCAGTGAACCAGGGAGCTCAGTCGGCCCATCATCAAAGGTCAGCAGCTCCTCCCCAGAGAGGCAAGATATATACACAAATATGCCAGTCATTGTTTCTCTCACACACACACAACCACGCACACACACAGAGTCGTTCAGTATTTACACTGACAGTGCAGAGCGGAGCTCTGGCCTCTGAAGAATGCCTGTCCCAATCTGTTCCCAACAGATGTGTTTCCATAGACAACGGCTGTGTGAAGTATTATAATAAGCAAAATAGCAAGATGGTTTTGGCTTGTCAGCAACTCCCGTACTTCAACCATGTCTGCAGGCTATTAGCTGAGATGGAAAACTTCCCCCTGAAACAAAAGACACCCCTCTCTTCTCCAGTGTAATCGAACAATACAACTGCAGAGTGAGCCGTAGTTACTCTGCCACAAAAGATGTCCTCTGTTTGAGGACCTCACAAACATCTTTAATCTCCCTCATTAAGCCTGAAATGGCATGCATTAGATGATGTTATTGTTTTGGGTATTGCATATATGAGAATCAATGTGCGGCAGCAAGCTTTGTGTTATAGCTCTAAAATAAACAGATCTGACCCAGGCGAGATCATTTTCATACAGCAAACAAGTGAAGCCCAAGATGGAGCTACGCAAAATCTGTGCAGGGAAATTATAAATACGCTGGCAGTGTGCCAGAGCCAAAATGGCAGACAGGTGTTAGAGGGCACAAAAATTATAGTGGGAAAAATAATACTGCTCATATTCTCAGGCACAGGAAATTAGAAAAACATAAAAACAATTATTTGCCTTAATGTCTATTGAAGGTAATGAGCTTAATTTGCAGCAGCATCCCGGTTTGGGGGTGTCACAAATGATTGTGCAAATACCATCAAACTATTAATCTGTTTTTGAATTTGGGGGCTAATTTGCTGGCGAAGCAGCTGATGTTTTTGTCATGGGTTTGTTTGTCAAAGTGGGGTCACAGGCTGCGTGAAAAACGGCTAAACATTTATTTTAGGCCATATTTCACCGGGACCCGCTGAGGGATGGGACGACTGTATTGTGGAGATAGTAATGGTCACGTTCACTTTGAGAGTTTTAGTAGCCATATTTCCCTGACCTTAAGAACTCCAGTGTTATTCATCTTCAGGCGAGTGACTAGGATTGGCCATGGGATGAAATATACTCTTAGGTCTCTTGATAAATGCCCAGGGAAGAGGCGCAGGAGGCTGCAAAGCTTTTATTTATCAATGCAGGAGCGAGAATGGAGCAGGTAGAGTTGAAAACTATCAGGTACGGACATTGTGCTGACTGCCAATGCAGCAAGGGGTCCACACTTTCACAAGAGCCAGGTACATCGCCTCGGAGGAGATGAATTATAAGTCTATACTGGCCCATCTTAAGTCAGAAACTGATCCCTAACCAGCCAGCCCTGGAGCGAGTCTGAGGAGTTGAACTGAGAACTTCAGGAGAGGTGAACAAACAGATTGGCCCGGGGTCATCTCTGAAAACAGCTCATCACATTCACAGATTATCCGCAGGCGGGTGTCAATCATGAAGAGAGGTCACACACAAAGAGAATCAAAACTTCTTTGCCAGCAATTACATCAAGTGGAAATGAACGATTGAGTGACAGGCCGCAGAGAGGAAGAGAGGTAAATTGGTAAGAGTGTGTATGGAAAAAGCAGGGGAGAGAGGGCATGCTAGAGGGGGGCTAAAGTAAAGCCCATCCAATTATAAAACCTGATTAGCTATGTCAATTAAAGCGTGATGGATGTCCTTTCAATTATTGGCTGGCATCATGAAAATCAATGAGCGGGTCCAGGAGGAGCTGAGAGCAGTTGCTGGTCAGGGTTGTAGTGAGTATCAGGATGGTTTCGCTGTGACACCTGGTGGGTCAGATAAAACTTCACTCAATGATGCTCTGATAAGCCACCAGAGATTACACACAGAATAGAGGGGGAGAGAGAGTTGTCTGATTGACTGACTTTATTGTCTGGGTGCAAGAATGGTGTGTGCAGGGGGAAAAGGAGTGGAGATGCTAGATCTTTACATCTGAGGTTAGCTAGGTGCCTTTGGTTTACCCTTAGAAAGTAAACAGCAACAGGCCAATCTAAGGCTATGTTTATCCAATCAGGAGAACCCAGTTGGTCTGTCTCCTTGCTGACGGGTGTTGTTTTGTCGTTAGTCAGACTGCACATCTCTCTGTAGACCGCAGCACTAGAAGTCCAAATATCGCAGCCTCGTCTGGCCTTTGATTCACCAAGACAATTGGATTTGGGAACTTTAATGAGAGGTTCAGCCATAGTCTCTTCCCCCTTTTGTGAAGCTCACTGTGGAAGGTGGAAGGTTTAACCATGCTGCTTACAGTTAAGCACCTCTATGCTTCCCTGAGGACAGACAAGACAGTAGGCGAGAGACACAGTCAGGTAAATGGACAGGATGAGAGGTACAGGAGCGGTGTATGTTGCCTATAAGACTGTTAATACCGTAAGTAAGTTGTGTGCAGATGTGCGACGTGCTGTCAAGAACAAAACACACGATCTTGTGTTTATCTTCAGCCAGTCATACACAATTGATTACATGTCAAAGAGATCTCTGGCATTACAGCGGGCCGCCATGGAGCTTGGCTGCATATAATCCCGCTACTTAAGGTATCAGATTGTACTGAGATAATCACCCATGAAATAGATTCTGACATTTCTCTTAAAGACTTGGGTGTGTCGGGCGGCTTTGTCCCAAGTAATGGATTTTTCAAGACAAAAGGAGAAGGCAAGGACAAACGGATGAAAAGAGATGAATAGAGATGAGTGTGAGACATGGAGAGAAATTTGACTGTTAGCACTCTGCTAATTTAATTGTACCATTCTCATGTCACAGATTTACTAACACCAATTAAAACCTGTCAAATCTGTGTTTCCAAGGTTGAGCACAGTTCCTGTCGAGCAGTAGGATTACACAGTGGTGTAAAAACACCATGATGGTCTGGAGAAATTCATCAAAATATGTTGCATCTAAGGTTAATCAGGTCGATTTTTGACACAAACCTTTTGGGTGCGTTATTGCTGCTCATTGCTGTAATGCAAATCACACATGCTGTCAATCACAGGCACATTCTGTCTCCCTTTTAATTCTTGTTTTCATTCTTGGACGTTTGCTCTTCTCTTCCTGCTTCTGTTCTCCTTTTGTTGTCAACTCGACGCACGGCAGCCTGCAGCACTTTAACCTTCCATCCCTCAAAGCCGCAGTGCTCAACGTGTCCCCTCCTTGACTGTGTTCAGTTGACAGCGCTACGCCCCTGTGGCTCCGAGGGACAAAGGCCCTAGGAGCATCCTCCACCTCCGCCACCAAATTCCCCCAGCCCGGGGAGACAGCCGTAGCAAATCCCATTCTCTTGCAAAGCACACACACACAAAACACATGCACACAAATACACGCACACATTGATGTTTGTCTGGGCTTAGCTGTCATCTTCATACTGTACTTTTGGGAGAAAGACGCTGTTGTGCTTTTGAGAGAGAGACATTTAATAAGAGGTGCTAGAATTTCATAAGCAAATCCTTCATTTTTCCACTGGCTCTCTCGGGGTGTTGTGTGCTAAGAGAAAAAGAGAAAAGAACAGGGGAGAGAAAGAACATGCTAGCATAAGATATATTTATCCAGTGCAGAAATGAAGTAAGGTAACACTGGAAACCTGCTACAGAAACTGGTTCTTTCTCTGTTTCGACTGTTCAATGTCATTGAAGCTTTTGACTGTTTAAAGTACTCAAGATGCATATATAATGTTTACTCATGTTGGCTCTCTTAACTCTGCAACAGTCAGGGACAGGGTCAAGAAGGATTCGGTGGCAAGCATTGAGTGTGGAACTGATTTCAGGCTTTTAAACACAAATCCTTAAGTGAGACCTTCAAATGGAAGATACTAAAAGCACACGTTTGTATTGTCATTCAACACCTGAGGAAGTTTTTCAAACGTCTTTTCTGTTGTTCTGTTCTGTTGTCCTCCCAATTCAGCTGTGAGCGGGGCCGAGGACGTGGCACTCTATGTGGGCATGGTGGCAGTGGCTCTGTGTCTGACTCTGCTGCTCATTGTGGTGGTCCTGGTCTACCGGCGCAAGAAGGAGGGCCTGGATGCCGACGTGGCGGACTCCTCCATCCTCACCACTGGCTTCCAGCCCATGGGCATCAAGCCCAGCAAGCCAGGTGTGTGGGCACCGCGGCCACGCAGGCCTCCCCTCCACAGCAGTAGGACACTGTTCTTTGTTCTACCCTCCTCTGTGCGTCCGTCGGCCCGTCTGTCTGCCCACCATGACCGTGCTGCACTCATCTACATGTACCACTGCTCCTGTGTTTGTTTGTGGTTGTGGAGGTGGTGTGAATGTGTTCACAGTGGTTTGTAGTCCAAGCAAGATGTTGTGTGTGTGTGTGTGTGTGTGTGGTGCACGAGCTGTTTATTTGCCTGTCTGAGACATTATGTTTCTCCACCACCTCATTGTCAGGAAATGTACCCACTCTGTTTACTGCCTGTATGGAGCCTCTGAGGTTTACCAGCAAGTAATAGAAATACAACTGTCTGAGCTGGATGGAGATGGGGAACTGGGTTGCAGTGCCTGTGATTCACTGTGAAAAAAGCCTTTATACATTCAGGGTGCTAAGCTGTATCTGAGTTCTGTTTGGAATTGATTGTGTGGTTGCTAAAGAGACAGACAGAGATAGAGAGAGGGGAGGGGAATAGACTGGCTTTGGGTAGAATTTGTGTTTGTGTATTGTCAAGAGTGTGTGCCTGTGAGTCTGCTGTTTATTGCACCATGTGTCTTTTCTTGTTTGTTTCAGTTTTCTGTGTGTGTTGCGGCAGCAACAGCTTTAGAGAGTGTGAGGTCTGTCTCTGTGATGTACGAAACCACCCTGCCTGCCACTCATGGAGATTTACACGCTTTCATTTTTATTATTCAAACAGAGAATTCCCATTTGCTCACCATCCAGCCTGATCTAACTACCACCACCACCAGTTACCAAGGCACCCTACGTTCTCGCCACGATGCCACTGGGAAATTTTCAATGACCAATGGGCCTCTGCTGGACCCGCTTCCCAACGGCTCGCACACTCTGCACAACGGCAAGCTTAACTCAGACCCTGCTGAGTTTGTGAGCAGGCTGTCCACTCAGAGCTACTTTAAAACGCTGCCCCGCGATGTAGCTAACACCTCCTATGGGACCTTCAATTTCCTCGGTGGGAGGCTGACGATCCCAAACACAGGTGGGTTCTTTACGTTTTAGGTTCATGTTGGTTTCTAAGGGGCCTTTCACGTCTGTAGTTCGGTTCACCTTCTATGGTGGTCCCAAAGAGAAGGGATCATAGATTATGAGCATTGTAAATCAAGACTGGAAACTGCACTTGCATATCATAAATAGACAAAAAGTGACAGAAACAGGCATTTTCTACTGTTATATTATGTAAATGGTTAATGTGTGGTTGCTACGTTTCACTTGTTTTTAATGTGAAACTGCTAAAATGCACATTGTATGACACAAAAATCTCTCCTTATGTGATGATGCGCCTACATGTTATGGTTACTAAATGGTCTTAATAAATACAGCGATTTCATACAGATCAGGACATTTTTTTTAATAGATGGATTTAATAGTAGTTTGGATTATTATCTCATAATAAGTCACACCTACTATCAATACAAAACTCTTTTTGGTTCTGTTTCTACCTGTCCAACATTTTATGATACTTGGGGTTTAGTTGCAGTTTCAACTAATATGCCCATATAAAAATTTTGTGTTCGCTCTTTGTGACCAAAAATGACAGTCCTCAAAACTGTCCAATCAATGAGTTATCTGTTAGTTCATAAGTCTTGCCAAAGGGCAACAGATTATTTATAGGTCTGGACCAGTTTACTGCTTCCTACTGTAATTTGTAAATGGGATTTATGAAAACTCTTGAGATGAGATATCAATGACTAAAAACTCTTATAATACCAAAGTTGTAAATTAAGAGCACAGTCATTTTCATTTAGGTATTGTTTCAGTAGACACAGCATTGTTAAGTCTGTGTCTGTGTACACATCCTCTGTAGGACCTTCTGTTTGCTGCCATACTTAAAACAAGAGAAGTTCTATCTAAACAATGTAACATCTGCTACTAAATGTGGAAATACGGTGGAAACAAATCGATTTTTATTTGTATTGCACAGGACATACATTGTCATTGCTTTTACATAAAAAAAGAACATTTACACAAACTTTATTACACCTGCTTTAATGACACAATGCCTCTGACTGGATATTAACAAGCAGAATTTATCAGTAACAGCTGAGTCCCATAAACGTCTCACCGTCTCATTGAAACCGACCCAGACCATTCAGCCTTTAAATCTTGTGCATGTGGTTTTCCTAATAGGTTTGCACCGGGATAACAGAAATTAAAAGTGTTTCAGTGCTTCATACAAAACAGCTTAATGCACAGGCTGTATTTTCTGTCTGTGAGACAGTTTATAGTTAGAAAGCACAAGAGACTCCATAAAATGCATGAAGGGCTTGTTTTAGCTGGGTGATTAATAAGAAGTTTGCTTGTTTATCTAAAAAGTGCCTAATTCAAAGATTAAATTGTACAAAAAAGCAAGGTATTTGCCATCAGTATCTCAAATGCATGATTGAGTAAAATGTTTTGTCAATATCCTACATCTACACTGCACAGCTTGAACAGTTGAAATAAAATGAATAGCTATAAAAGAATAAGTGTGTGCCAAATACATTCTACTCCTGGATTCCCGGAATAAAACCTAGAACAAATTTTTCCAATTAGGTCCCCTCGCTTATGAAAGAGCTGGTTGAATTGGTAGCCGATGTCCACAAGTGTCAGTTGTGTGCTAGGAGCATGGACAAAGGAATAGAGATAGTCCATTAAAGATTAGTATGATAGAATATATAAAAAGCCCACCATCATTAGTCTCCTGTTTTGCTTCCCCTCTTCACATTAGCGGAGTACAGAGATTATATAATTACACTGGAAGACAGTAACTTGGCTTATTGTAGGCTGTCCAGATTAGCCAATGACAGTGCCAACACTCCAGTATTTTGTGGGAGAAAAGGTCTTTTTTTGCGTGTTTTCCTTGCCATCACACTCTATCTGTCTCTTTTCTCTGTCTCTCCTCTGCTCTCTTACAGATATTTTATGCATGGATTAACTCAAAGCCATGTAGACTATACCACGCATTGGCACCCATCTTCTCATTGGGACACACACAAGAAAAAAAACCATCAGTACTCGCATGCATTCACTCAGAGGAATATACTGTCATTTAGCACAGTTTCAGAGCAGGCACATGGAAGACATGGTTTATAGATTCAGACAAGGCTGTGAGTATTCAGGCACCTTCGCCTTATTCAAACAGAAGCTTTCATGATGAACAGACCCAGTTTACAATCCAGAGACTGTTAAGAATTGTGTCACATAGTCACTGTTTGCGCTACATTTTAAAAAGGATTCTAAGAGGATGATTTTGGCATGAGAATCACAATACAAATGCCACAACACTCAAGCTACCTCAATAGCTCTCTCTATTCTCCAAGGTGCATTCCTACACTCTCCTGGGGAAGTGTAATTTTCCTGGAGTAGTCTGTTTCATGGTCTCAATTATCTACTTGGTGGCAGACGGAGGACATTTAAACTGCGATGCAGTGTGCGCTTTTGTCTTAGCTAATTGTTGACCATGGGGACGCGTGCCTCCTCAGTTGCCAGTGCAGAGATTTGCATCTACTGTACCTGACGGAGGCTGCCTCTGACCTTCAGAATAGATTTGTTTTTTGTTTTTGCAGCCATACAGTTTTGTTGAGTGGGCCGCCTTCCTTTGTGAGATAACAAAAGCGTTGTTCAGTCAGAACAAATGAGCCTGTCCCTCTCCTCCTTACCAACCCCCCTCCCTCACTCTCTCTCCCTTTGTTGTTATTTGCATTAGGAATCAGTCTGCTCATTCCTCCCGAGGCCATCCCCAGAGGAAAGATCTATGAGATTTATCTCACTGTTCAGAGGAAGGAAGACTTAAGGTGGGTCTCTTTAACACTGCCTAACTGGCAGTCTTCCCTGGATGCCACTAGGCTGTTTGTTTTGATGCTCTACTGTTCCATTAGGAAAGGCTTAAGAGTCTGTGCCAGTACTTGTGGAGGAGGGATGTAAATAAATAACGTAGCCTTTTACCAAGACATGCACTGTTTAAGTTAAATTAATTGTTTGGTAAACACTGTTTATTTGGCTTGCTGCATTCAGTCTCAGAAGGCACCGTCATTGTAGCATGTTGTGACAGTGTTATGTTATTACTCAGCCATCACAACTAGGGCCAGCTAGGCAGTGAGTCCAGCAGGCTTTCATTATTCTCTGTTACAGCTGCTAGATCATTTGCAGAGGTGACAGGACCATATCCTGCTTACAAGAGACCTGTAAATTCTCACTATTAACTTGACGAGTAAAAGCACTACATCTCGATTCATTCCCCCCCCTTTCCTCTCCATGGTGTAGGTTACCCCTGGCTGGTTGCCAGACCCTGCTCAGCCCCGTTGTGAGTTGTGGCCCTCCCGGGGTGGTCCTGAGCCGGCCAGTTATCCTCAGCATGGACCACTGCTCTGACGCATGCCTCGATAACTGGGCCGTCCGCCTCAAGAAGCAGAACTATGAGGGCGCTTGGGAGGTGAGACAGCACTATAACTCCAGCACAAATCCTCCATAGAAGGACAAAGTTGCCACCCATTGAATTTTCTGAACTCACTGAGAGCTTTCTTTTGAAAAAGTACAAACTTGCTCAGCAGTGACTTGAAACTCACATAGGAAAGCACTCAGTGCTGTATAGCAGAGGTAGTTCTGGCCCAGCACTCGTCCACTCCATAGGGTTTAAATTATATTGACCATCAGGTGTTTTCTCGTTGGGCTGGAACAAAAGCCTGGAAGCACCGGCTCTCTCTAGCTCAAGAGTTGCTAGGCAACATGTGTCTCAAAACAGAAATTCTCTAAGCAAATTACTGATCCTCAAAGTACTCTTCTGAGTGCTCCTTGACCATTTTTGACCACTGCTTCCAATTACAGAGCTCCCTCCTCATTTTTCTAACCATGAAATTTGAAAGTAACCAGAACTGCCAGACTCCAGTAGGATAGAGCTGAGAAGAACGTTTGGTGTCCACTCACACACGCAGACACACACACACATGCAAACAATGGTTTGAGGCAGTATACCCATCTCAACAATCCAGAGAGATTGGAAAGGGTGCTGGTGGGCTTTGGAGTGTTACTAGGTCTTCTTTCATGTTCGATATTGTGCATAAATTATTCAGCCTCCCCGTGTGTGGCGGCGGTGGGGTGTCTGTGGGATGGATTGGCCTGTCTGAGGCAGAGGTTAGACCAGCACTTTTAATCATCAGCCGGACCAAATATAGCCCAGCGGCCTGACTACGTGGCCACCAAAGGAAAAAGTGGCAGGTGAACGAGAGGATGAGAGTAGAAACAACCAGAGAGAGAAGGAAAATAAAATAAGGGAGACAAAGAGGGAAAGGCAAAGTGGACAGGCAGGTAATGTAGATGTAGAGGAATGATTAGACAGAGTGGGAGATTGGAAATGTGGCTCAGGAAAGAAGAGAAAAGACATAAAGAGATGGTGAAAATGGACACTTAGAAGGAGTAAGAGAAATGAATTGCCCGTTGAGTGAGCGCTCAGTGGCGTAATAGAGCCACCTCACTCTCTGCTCCAATTCGAAGAAATTTTAAGATGATGAAAAAGTGAGACTCCATTGTGGTTGCATAGCAAATGAGTTGTGTCAATACTAATTCTATTGATGTAGATGGTGTCTGGTTGAATCGATCCTAGAGGGGCTTGCCGGGCATTTGGCAGGCAGAATGCTCTCTTCAGCTTGATTGGCTAATGAGAAGAGTCAGTCAACTGGCATGATGGGATTTTAGAGAAAATGTTGTCACCTTGGGTCCAATTTGTCCCCATCAAATTAGCCCGGAGAGCAGTGGAATTATCTCATAAAACTATCCGGTAGTGTGATGGGATAGGCTATTTTCACAACTCTGTCATCTTTATTAGAGATGCAGTTGTGATACAGCACTAAGAAAGCGAGAAAAATCCAATGTTTAACTTTGTCCTTTTTTTTTTCCTTGGCAAATTAAAGCACCAATTAATTATTGTGATGCCTGTTGGCATTTTTTCACAACACTCCTCTCCATCAGGCAACAGTGTTGCTTTGCAGATAAATTGGCAAATTGTTTTCACCTTTCTTAACAAATCTTAAAGGCTGAAGGAATTTCCGGGAATCCCAATAATCGGATATTTACTGCACCTCCACAGTCTTTTCTTTCTCCTAAACCATCTATTCTTGCCAGGAATCTATTCGAGTCTCCTTTCATGTCAATTGAGTACCTTGTTCATGCATTATTAAGTAAATTGATGGTGTTCTATAGGACGTGTCTTTGTATGAGGGAATGTGTCTTTATGTCAGTATGGGTGTAAGTGTACTGGAGTGAAGAGAGAATTTAATTTTTTTTTCCCTCTGATCTAAACTGTTAGATACTTATGTAACATTAGCTTAAAGGCCTTTAGCTTAAATGTTAATTTATCACACTGAAGGAGGGACAGAGTTGGGGGCCTTGCTCCAAACTACTTTCCTAACACCCATTTACAAACAACCATACAGACATCAGGGACCCAGGCAAACACATTACCCATCCCTCCTACATAAATTGGGTGCTTGACCTTCCATTCACACCTTGTGTTTTTTTTCTCCACCTCACCTCCTCCAGGACGTCCTGCTGATGGGGGAGGAGCTGGTGTCGGAGCCCTATTACTGCCAGCTCGAGGCGGAGACGTGCCGGCTTTTCTCGGAGCAGCTGGGTACTCTCGCCCTGGTGGGAGAGTCCCTGCACATGGGTGCTGCCAAGCGCCTGAGGCTGGTGCTCTTCTCTGATGCGTACTGCTCCACACTGGAGTACAACATCAGGGTCTACTGCATGGACGACACACAGGACGTCTTCAAGGTAAATTGTGACAAAATGTACCGCTGCCTGTTATTTTGTTTTGACGGGCTGGGATTGGAGCGAGCGGTTTTGCATCAGCTGAATGATAGGTAGGCTATTATGTGTAATAATAGCATTGTCGGTCACATTGGAAGGTTAGTAGAAATCAGCGCAGACATGTAGGAGTTAGGCATAGCCATGGTAAATTGAACAATATTGCAGGCCTGATTACACCATGTGCAGTTCAAGGGTGTATGATTTGTAGAGCTGATGTTCCCTCCTGAGTCTTTTGAAACCATGCATATGTCCAGGTTAATCATGGTATACAGTACAATTTGAGTGTGTTTTTGTGTTATGCCAGAGATGTTTTATTCCTTTCATGCTGTCAGTGGTTCTGCTTGGCTGCTGTGGGCCAAGAAGTTTCCCATCACTTTGTTCAACAGCATATTTCGCTTCTCTTTTTTGCTCTCCACGCGGACAGAGTATAATCAAGCACTAATGCCTTCCTCCCTCCCCCGAGGACTGCCTCTGAGTAGCCTGTTAAGATTTCATTTGCATGGTTAATTAGTAAATTAAAAGGAGAGCCTGCCCCAATCCTTTCCCAGCAACCCCTGTGCTCTCTCTCTCTTTCTCTCCACACCTCTCTTCCTCTCTCCAAGCTGTTCTTCTTGGTCTGACGCCACCCACAGCCACAAGTGCCACTTTCCGCTCGAGTCCACTTTGGCCCACTGTAATGGCTGACCCCCTTGTGGAGTGGCTCGCCATGGGCACAATCTATGGATGGCTGTGGGATATAAGCAATGGAAGGTGGGGGGGGGGCTCTGTCTGAAATTAGCATTCTCACATTCAGGGAGCTGAAGATGAGATGAGAACTGTGCACAATCTCTAGCTGTGGGGTGGGAATTACTGAAAACTCTCCTACCTTACATCTGTCTTTTTGTGGGTCAATTCTACTCCTGCTGCTATCTTTCTTAGTTCCTGACAGCTATTGCATGACAGCAGGCTCAGGGAAATAGCTGGCTGACATTCAGCTGTGTTCTAATGTAGAAATAAATGTAAAATGTAGCATACAGGAGCAGATGCAGTCCTTCAGAGCAGAAAGATATGACCCCTTTTTTGTTTACTTGCTATCAAAGCAGTTATAATGATAGGGCTCTCTCTATATATATTCAGATCATCAGGTGACCTGGTGGTGTTTTGCTGCAGTGTGACTCTTGAAATGACCTTGTGTGTCCTGTGCTGGATGCAGGAAGGCTGCTGGTGCACAAAAACTCTTACTCTCTCACTCTGGCTAGCTCTTGTTCTGCTATTCTCCCGCTCTCTTAGCCAGGAAAAGGACATCTGAGCTTGTTGACTCCAGCACTTGTGCTGCCATACTCTGCGGCTCCCTCGACGCCCTTGAGTGCATTAGCTCCACGTCTCTCACAAAACCTGGTCCTGTGGTAAGCCACGGTGTCTCTAGGGTTTTGTAGTTTTTAGTGAGTGATTTAGAATGTGGCCCACACTGTTTAGTAATCTCGACTTCACACTGCTCTTGATGCTATTATAGAGGGAGCAGTTCATTTAGCAAGTACATTAACCACTTTAAGTGGAGATTAAACTTCCCTGGAGAGGTTCAGCCTAATCACTAATCACTATCTTTAAAATGCACCATTTATGATTAGACTTTCACTATGGCTACCATTAGTGTTAATTGTAGTGTGTAGCAGTAGGTGATACAGTGGAGTGGCACAGCAGCATTTTTTTGTCTGTGTTGATGTACAGTACTCTTTCAGCACATCTGAATCTTTGACAGCATTTGCAGCCTGCTAAGGTACTGCTCTTCGTTTTTCAGACAAGAAGTCAACTTTGTGTGCATTAAACAGGTTGTACTTTTGATGGGAGATGAAAGGAAAAAAAATGAAAAGGTATTTCTCTGCATTTTCTGTTGGCTGTTCAGTGGTAGGAAGAACTGTGGAAACCAAAAGCGATTCTGAGGTTTTCTCTCCAGTCCCCTTGCTGGCTGTCAGTCTGCTCTGACAAGCCTCCATCAGAGAGAATGACATGCACACACACCCACAAACGCATGCGCACACTCATGCATGCTGTACCATGCAATCTCTTTATCTCGCAATTACAGCAGATTAGAACCAATGTTATTGTCTTTGATCCTAAGTGTGCGGGGGCTCTGGGGAAACGGTGACATTTCCGTCTGATGCTTGCCGTATGTTAGCATGGCTCTGCCGGGACCAATTAAGTTAATATTTAATGTGTGTCCCACCCTTGATGGGCCCAGCCAAGGCTGGCACAGCAGCAGAGGAGACATGATCGGCGTTTGGTAGCGCCCTCACTGTGCACTCGGTTGTTCCCAGCAAGACCTGTGGGAGAGCATCACTGATGTTCTGCCATCCCACAACTGATTGAAACACCTGTAGTGAAGCAAGCCTCCAACTCCGTACAGAGATAGACCACCAACGCCAACATCTAATTAAACTGGAAGGGTGCCGACAAAGGTGTCTTTTTAGGATTGGAATATGCTGCAGTTAGTTTTTTATATTTAGCTGTGATATTCAGAATCTGTCAGCTTTTGGTATGAAGGACAAAATCATCAGTATGTTTTCTACCATGCATAACCCACGTTTGAATAGTGGAACAATAACAAAATATCCTGGTGTTTATTGATAACTAAATGTTCTTCCTTTACGCCCACATGTCTGTGTTTTGTAAGGCAGTGGTGTTGTACAGTTAAAAAAAACATGTAGAATGATTTATAAACCACCCACTTTCTGTCAGATTTATTTTCTACAGAGGTTGAAGCACAAGTCATGTTTTTTGTATTGGGCGGTAGACTTTTTGAAGGGCCACCTTAAATACTAAAACAGTAAATTTTGTTTTGAATAACAGCATGGGATTTATTTTGCCATGTTTGCAGTGGCCCTATGGATAGCAGTGTAGGTCGGTCTACCACTTTGGTCCAGACCAAAATATCAACAACTATACATTCCGGTTGCACCATCATCAGTTCAAAAAAGAACATAATGAGTTAACTCCCTTTGTACTCTCAGTATTGTATTTCAGACTACAGCATTTATGTTTTCATCAATATTCATGTAATGAGCCCAAAACATTCAGCTTTTTGTCTCTTGATTGTAAAAATCTATGTTCCAGTGTTAAATGTGTGTTTAATTGATGTCTTAACTGGTTAAATAGTGGCTCCTGGATTCTTTTGTACCGTGTTCGACCTCAAGCTATTATTCTTATTCTCATTTGCGTTTAAAAGGGCTCGTTAAGTGTTTATGTGCTCCTTCCACTATGACGTTTTCTTGCTAACTCCTGAGCAGCAAGCTACATTTGGGCAGAAACTTTTTGCTCTTATGTATCAGAGGAGAGAAAACGAGCATGTACAAACTGTAATACAAACAGATTTTCTGATCCCTCCATCAGAATAGTTACTGGCAAAGACTTCTAGGAAAGAAAAAATCCAGAAGAGCATAGCCCAGTAATTGCTGGCATTAAGTTAAAGACGACAGTCAGCTTTATCACTGAGCCCAGCTGAGAAATTGTTTCCATATTATATTTCTGTGTTCCTGTGTGCTGTTTTCTCCCATCCTGCTCGGTGATTTATCAGGCAGAATGTGCATCTTTTCCCTAGCAAACACAGTCCCCATTTATAACTGAGCAGACAAGTCCCTTCTATTTGTAGTTATTAATCAGAGTTGACTGTAGCGGGCACGGCCACTGGAGCTCAGACTGATAGACTCTCAGTCAGAGAGGAAAAGCCTGTCACATCCTGCTGACAAATACACAGATTTATGGAGCCCACATAGCCAGGCAACTCTCTATAAACAAATGCATTTGCCTGAAAAGAGCAGCTCTGTAAATGGATCGTCGCTATGAATGCACATTTTTAAACACAAGGACATATTATATTGCTAAGAGTGGAGGGGTGAGGACGAGTTTGAGGATATTAAAGCCTGTGTATCTCTGTATGACTAATTAACTAATCAAACGCTAGTTATAATCCACTCCAAGCCATAGATATATATATATATATATGTATGCCTCTGTTAATACTTTGATTTGTTTAGACCATGTTTCTGTCCTCCATCCGATGGCTGGATGTTGTTTTTGTTGCAAGAGAGAGTTTGGTGCAGCCACTAACCTCTTTCTGTCAGCACCATCCCGAAGAGATTAGCTGTATGAGTGTCTCTTGTTTCCCAGTGGATCCCGGCCCCAGTCCATCACAGTCCCAGCTCTGGTCCAAGCTGAGAGGATGAGGGGATGGGTGAGGAGTGGGGTGGGAGAAGAGTGAGGGTGGGAAGAGGGTTGAAGTCATAGAAAACTGTGGCCATGATTGCAGTAATCCTGTTATCTCTCCTGCTAAAGCTGGCCACTCTAGTGACCTGGAGACACAAATGTTAAGCTGCCTCTGTCTCTCTTCTCTCTTGCTCCTGCTCTTTTCACTCCTCCCTGCTCTATCTCACTCTCTTTAGCCAGCCTCATTGAATGTCAGGGGGTGGTCTTGGCTCTGCCTGACTCTAAATTCACAGTCTTCACACACACCACAGGCTTTCTCGAATTCCGTCACAACAAAAGGGGTTTTTCTCCTGCAGTACTTGAACTTCTCGCCCATCTCATGCATCTTAATGTTTCCACAGTGGTACAGGGTCAGGGTGTCTTAAGAAAAAACTGCTAGTCTTATCTAAGCACAATTCAGCTCTGAGTTGATGATTAATATGCGATTTGATAAACTAATTCAAAACCTTGCATTGTTTTCTCCCAGAACAAGTAAATAATATGGTCAAATTTAGCTTCTCATCTATTAGCTCGCTCACGCTGTCATTTGTTAACAGGATAATGGGGCGTAAAGCGGGCCATTATTCTCACAGCCCAGAACATATGCTGAAAACCTGCACAAAACACACACTCTAATACACACATTCAGGCACATATAAACAATACACAAGCGAGACAGTGTCATTTGAAAGCAAGGACATGTGCACACTTTAAAGTGTCTCATCCCATGTTTTGTATTTTCCCTCAGCTCAGTGTCTCTGTCAGGAAGCAGGGGTGCCATGTCCTAGACCCTGTTTGATTATAATCCTGCCATGTCAGCCTTGAACCTAAAGCAGACCAGTTAGTATTCATTCTAGTAGCTATGTGTTGATAATAAGATAATTGGCATTCTGCACTCTCTCTCTTACTAGCATGCCTATAGATCTGCTGCTATAGGTCAAAGTCCTGATCAAAGTCCACCAGCCCCAATTTGCAATGCTAATCACCCCCAACAAATAATTGTGCTTAAGAACTGTGTTAAATGAACCTCTCTGGAAGCCCTCATAATGTGCCTTTTGTCTGTGTAAGAGACATAATAGCAGAGGGCTTTTAATTCTGTGGAGAATGCGCTGCCCCCTGTTATTAACTCATTAGACCTCGACGCTTTGATTCAGAGCCATTGTCTGACCTTCCTACTCTGAGTAAGTGGGCTGGGTAACATAACAAGGCTCTGGCGTAGCAGTACAGTGAGGGAAATATTCCAGCTAGCCACATACTATCAGATCATTGTACATCTTTAATGTTCTGGGACATTTGGGTGAAAGGAATAATCCAATGTATATGCAGGAATCGAGATGGATAATCAGAGGGGGCATAATATTCCTGTTAACAAGAAGATAAGCACCAAGCAAACATGGAAATTAACAATGAGCTGAGCAAACATGGAATTTTAATTCTTGGGCTGAACCGAAACGTGCTCATTTAGTAAAGGAGAGAGCACATCAAATAACAAAAGCAGGTAGAGATTCCAAATGGATAATTAACAGCTTCCTTTCCATTATAATTGGAATCAGTCCAGCCCATTCCTGGGAAAGAGGGCAGAAAATTGAATCAGTGTTGTGCAGATAGAAATTACTGTCATTCTCCACCTTAATTAGATGTCTTTGCTGAAATCATACCATAGGCAACAATGCTGGCATGCAGCACTCAACATATGGCCACTATCTACTCGCACATCTCCCACTTGGGGCCGTTGTCTTTGAGATGCGTCTCCTAGACTCCGAGGTTCATTCTGGCTGCCTTTTGCCATCTTGTTTGCCTCCTCAGACAGATTAAAAGAACATGTCTTATTTCTGAGGTCTTTTCTCACTACTAATTTCAGAGGCTTGTTTTTCTCCGTTGTAATATGCTCCTCTGTTTGGAGTGATCGCCATCCAAAGTAAGAGAGAGACTCACTCAGCACAAACCATCCAGCTCAAAACGAATTGATAGATCAGAGGGAAATGCTGCAGATATTATCATCCCATTCCAGATGGTCATTTGGATGGCAACAAATGGTCCACTGAGCAAGTCCCACAGAGATTAAAATATTAAGCATGCATTTACAAATCTTTCTTGGCACGAAAACAAAAATGAAATTAAGGAGATTCACCATGCGAGAACAATGAGCAGTTGACTAATGGCTGGTCCACTTACTTCATCACAGTCCAGGTAGCTAGTAGGCCGGGATGGTAGCAGTATTTGCATGCTAATGCAGTTGCTGAAAGCTGGGCGCACACAAGCTGAGGCAGGGGATCAACCTTGTGGTGACATTAAAGCGCTGTGGAGAAGAGTCGATCCAGCCTGCTGCGGCCGCATTCAGCGGCACTGTCTTCCTTTCCTAAGATGTACTGTGCCCCTGCCTCACGCTCCGTGCTGTTTGTACGTGTGTTCATCTGCACGAGTCACAATGTTTGTATGTTCCCACCATTATCCATGTCTTTTTATTATTATTTAGATTTTTCCACTTACCTCTGTGATTGTGATGGTAAATGTGTTTCCTCTGAGCGATTCCTCTCCCTGCCCCTCTCTCTTTCATCAGGAGGTCATGCAGATGGAGCGGCAGCTCGGGGGTCGGCTGATTGACGAGCCTCACGTCCTGCTTTTCAAAGACAGCTACCACAACCTGCGCCTGTCCATCCATGACATGCCCCAGGCGCACTGGAGGAGCAAACTGCTAGCCGGCTACCAGGTGTGTTGGCCGGCCCTGGGAGGGCTGCAGGGGCCAGGGAGTCACACCAGATCAGAGAGGGAGCACGGAGATGTAATATAAGTGCCTGGCTGAAACTGTCAGATTTGTGTGTCAGCAGTTATAGGGCTTTGTAATGTGTTTTTTCACTCAATTTAAAATCCAGTTGTCTCGAGTTATTTTAAATAGTCACTCAGAGAAATTAAAGAAGAATGTACGAGTATGTGTCGCCAAAAGCGATGTTACTGAGTAATCAAAAGTTCTTCAGGAGCACCTATTTATTGTTAATGAGGGTTCACGGTCTAGTCATCTCTTTGGAAAGTTATTTTAATTTTAGTTGGCTTGGAGTTTTAATTGAGTATGTTTTGCTTTGGCTTCAGTTGATGACTTTAAAGATTCACACAAAGGAGTGTTTTTCAGTCTGTTACTGCAGGACTCCTCTGTTCAATAACCTTTCTGTTCATGACACTGTTTGCAACTTTAAGTCATTTATTGGAGTCGAGAGAACACTTGTGTGTGCACCCTTGTCCGTAGAGTGTGCATGTTTATGTCCGGTTGTGCTTCTGCATGAGGTGCATACATGTGCAAATTGGAGCTGGATTGTATGCGCTAACCCAGAGCTGCAAACTGATTGATTATCCTAGCTGCCGCTCTCTCAAAGGGAGCTCAAATGAAATATAGAGCAGTATGTAAATATCTGGAGCTTCTTGGAACCTCTCCACCTCTACTGCACTCCCCACACCTGCGTGGCCCACTGCACTGCAGCCCAGCAACAGAGACACAAGGGCTGTTCAAAGAGGACTAGAAAATGTTCTGGCTGTAACTATGTAAGCACTGAGCACCAGGTCCCCGAAGAGAACACAGGCTACGCCAAGCAAGCAGCGGCAGCAACAATGCACCCAGAACAGAGGCTTATTCCTCTGGACTGCGCCTGTTCATTTGGAAGTGTTATCCTCCTCTCAGCAGTGCGGTCAAAAAAGGCCTTTAGTGTCCCTGTGGCCCCGTGAACACTTTTGTGCGTTTCACCCGGCCCCTCCGTCATCTGTCTGCCTGGGTAACAGTGCCCTCGTTTGGTTAGCAGTGTGTACTGCAGCCCACACTTCAGCCTCAAGCTGAGTTCTTGTCAGCTGTTGAACCAAGGGTGAAGTGAGGAGTTAGCGTGCCCTGTTTTTTTTTTTTTGGTTTGTTTTTTTTTACCTCACTGCTTCTCCTGGGATATGCAAATGAGGCATGAATATGGAGCAACAGTGAGAAAGATGTAGAAATGATTAGCCTTGAATACATTCTATCAAACACTCCCTAGTAACTGTTTGCTAGACAGAAGCTGGTGCTGTACAGCAGTGCTAATCAAAGCTGTTATGCATTCATTTAGATCTCCATGTCACATGTTGTGTTTTAGATTTAAAGTAGAGCTGTGATGTTTCAGCTTGGTTACTATCAGCATCATTTGTAGCTCTGCGGAGAAATGCACATGCAGTACGTACCTGCAAAGAGAGGCTGAATCAAGAGAGAAATATTTGCTAAATGAAAAATGTTTCTCATGCCAGAGATACAGATATGGTGTGTTGTGCTTCTGTAATCATTTCAGGCAGTCAGACAGCTATTAACTGACATAATTTCCCTTTAACTCACCTGAATGTTGTCAGTCTGCTGCCTCAGATATATTTAGTCATTTTCACCTAAGGAATGACAGCTTATGTCAGTGTAATTGATGATGATCTCAGTGTATTCTAGGCAGGCGGTCCAGTTATGCTGCATTTCAGACATGCGGTTCTGACTGTGCCGCTGCGCTGCCGTTTGTGCGTGCTGCGTGTTTTGTTTTTTTTCCTGCAGGAGATCCCGTTCTACCACATCTGGAACGGTTCCCAGCGGTACCTACACTGCACGTTCACTCTGGAGCGGCTCAGTCTCAGCACCTGTGAGCTCACCTGCCAGCTGTGTGTGTGGCAGGTGGAGGGGGAGGGACAGAGCTTTAGCCTTGACTTTAACATTGCCAAGGTAACGTTAAGCATAACTACTCGCTTTGAACCTGCAACTGATTAAGCATTTGGCGTTTTCAGTAGTCATAAATGAATTGTTTTTATACTGTGTTGAAGAAAAGGTTTGTTTTCATTCCTACTAGGACACCCGAGCTGTGGACTCTGAGTTTCTGTTAATGGACAATAACGCCACAGCTCTGGCAGGGCCCAGCGCCTTTCAGATCCCGTACCTCATCAGGCAGAAGATCTGCAGCAGCCTAGATGCCCCCTGTCCCAACGGAGCCGACTGGAGAATGCTAGCACAAAGACTTAAACTTGAGAGGTAAATACCAACTGCACAATCCCGTAATACCTTATCTGATCACTGATTGTCGGAGCGCGCCGGAAAAGTCAGCTTACACAAAGGCTCTTAAGAAAGAGCCTGATTTATCAAACCCCTTGAGAATAGAGTCTGCGGGGGCAGTATATGTACAATACTCGAATATAGCATGTTTAAAATAATGAACATGCAATCCCACTAATTGTGATACTAATGTAGAGGTTAACATGTAACTCAGAATTCCAGTAATTGCACACCGGAATTGCACAAAAGTGCTTCACCACAGAAGAGTGTTTTTCCTAAAGTTAAGGTAAACAAGGTTCTGCTTAAGCAAACTAATCCTCCTTTGACACAGCTAACATTATAGGATTAATGTGGACTTGATGGATACAGCTATCATTTCTGCAAGAAAACACGACCCTGTTCTTCCCTTTTTTTTTCTCCTCTGGAACAGGTAAGCAGCTTAACATCTACAGCTAAACTTGTACCTGCTACGTTCTGCTTAACAGTTGTAATTGGAAAGGTAGCAAGCTAGCTGTCCATCAGCAGCGAATAGAGATGGAGTAGGTTTGGATCTGTGCCGACATCAAACAGTTTGTTCTCACAGTTACTGTACTTTATCACTGGAGTACCTGTAACAGAAAGGAGCCAGGCATTGATCCCCTATCCTCCAATTTAATTTCTACCCCGTAATGAAATCAAATGGGTACACTTAATTTGTCCAATCAAACTTTATTTACCCCAATTAATCACAAATTGAATTGATGCACTACAGGTTTAATTAGCAATGTTTTGCTCAACATAATCAATTCTCATTTAGGCCTGAGGAAGGAACAACCGCTCTGTTGTTTGATCCGTCCTTAACAACGTGTTTTCCTGAGAAGGCAGCAGCTCCTTGGCATTCTGTCATGCTGTATTTCTGTGTTTGTTTCTCTGTGTGTGTGTAAAGTGTTCAGACCGAGCGGAACGGGACCGATCAATAAAACTTAAAATGCCAAGAACCTTGTATTTGATCTTTCTCTCCAAAGACTGTGCAAACGGCTGCGTCTGAGCCATACAAGATAAGCTCGTGTTTCACATAGCCAGGTGAATAAGCAGGGCTGACACTTCGGACACTAAGCTCTGTCTTTTTTATCTGAATAATGACACAGAGGTTTGTTCCCAGAGAATTCTTTTGACCAACGCTTTCTCTTTGTCGTGTTCTCCCGACGCCAAGGGGAAGGCTGTGTGCGCTATAAAATCCAATTGACTCAAAATAGCAGAGTGACACTGTTTTCTCAGTGCTTGTGTACTGTCAATGCAACCGCGTGTTTGTAGTCAATCACAGACTGCTTCACTAAGCAAACAGAAGATACGAGGAAGTAATGGATTCTGTCTGACCTTTGTCAAGGTGAAAAGGACTTGGGGGTGTTTTTTGGGCTTCTTTTCTCACCCCCTCCCACCCGGTAAAAAGCACTCACACAGACCAACATTCCCTTTGTATAAAGAGTTTACGCTGTTCTTTTTATTTTTATTTTTTTTGATGCCATGTGCTCTACATAACAGTTAAGGCCCCAGACATTTGGAGAACAGAAAAAGGCCATTAAATCAAACAAGCATCTTCAGGTACTGCAGGGATCAGGTCCCACTCAACATCAAATATACAGCTGGCTGGGGCCACTGCTTTGTTGTCATTGATTGGGTTTGATCGTAAAGGTTCTGCTCCTAAAATGGAAAAGGTCACTTCTGACTTAACTGTGAAAGTCCATATAGGATTTACAATATGGGATTTAGAGCCAATTTCAACATCAAATAAAGAGGAATGAGGCTTATGCTGTTGAGCTTCAAATGAAAATTGCCAGATTCTGTATTTGATGGCAGTTTTAAGAGCTAGGCTGTGTTCTTATACCTTTTATCATTTTTTTACTTAGTGCTCCACAACAGCATATCAGGATGTAGCAATATAACACACAATAAAACTTGACATTGACAGAGTTACAAGAAGCAGTAGTGCAATAAAATATTGTCTGAAAAGGTTTTCCTAAGACTCCGTTGGTGCAGAGCAAATGCAACACTGCCCGTTGTGATTTGTGCACATCGCTTGATTTAATAAAAACATCTCATTGGTCGCTCACTGTTGTTTTTGTGTTCTTCTCCTCTGCTCCTCTCTGCAGACACATGAGTTTCTTTGCATCCAAAGCGAGCCCAACCTCTGTGATCCTGGACCTGTGGGAGGCACAACATTTCCACAGCGGCAACATCAACCAGCTGGCCACGGTCATGGCCGACATTGGCAAACAGGAAGCCATGATATTCCTGGTCTCTGATGGCGAGTGCTAACCCAGAAAAGGGGGAGAGACTGGTGCAGAGGAAGAGATCAGAACACGACAACACACACACACAAAAAAACCCAACAGTAACTGCAGCCATCGAAGAGCAGAGCTGTCCCAATGTCCCTCTTCACTTCAGAAGATAGTAAAGGGTTTATGTAAGACTGAGTCCCTATTTCCCATCGAACAGTAAAACCCTTTTAATGACGGAGCAAACGAGGGACCAGTGGAGTTTGGGTGTGTGCGGCGGAAATGTATTCATGAACTCAGTACAGAAAATACCCTTTATTTTCCATCAGTGATTAAGTTAAATTAGTCCACACCCTGGTTCTACTTTAAAGATAACATTAAATTAACTTCATGTCTTTTATATGAATAGGCCAGTTATGACTAATAAGGAGCGATATGCAAACGTAATGCCCAATACTGCAAATTCAATGAATCATTTTTGGACTTGGATTAAACAAAATGATGGATGACATATTAAATATTAGATAAAAAGGGATGTGACAAAATGTGCCGGTAACTTTGGGTTAAACAGGCGACATATGCAATTGGCACGTTCATTATATGGCATTATGACTTAGATGCTGAACACAGTTCATCTCATATGCGTCATTTCTTAACACACACACACACACGGCTTGTAGCACATCCTGGACTTGCAGGTTTAAAAATAGATTGTATGTCAAGAAGCCCCAAAAACTCCGTCTCATCTTGTTTGTGTTTTTTAGTCCAGCCGGTATCACTACTGTGAATGTAACATCTTGACATCTTGATCCAGCGAGACGCTTCACAGCTTTCCTGCTTCTAAATCAATATGTGGGGTTTGTTTTGTTTTTTTAACTTTTCTGAGGGGGGTTGAGTAATATCTTCACTAAAAGGCATATTTCAGAAGCCATTCCTATTTAAAGCCTGTGATTTTGATCCGTCCAGTTTGTCACGTCTTTCATTACCCCAATTGTTCATTGTGGCGTTTTTCTATTTCAAATTCCACAGCTAATGAAGGAGCCATAGGGCTGAAAGGCGTTCCAGCTGCATATATGTGAACTATGAATGTCGTCAAAACTCATTTCTAAAATGACATTTTCCCCCTGATTACATTCATTCTGTGGCAGAGGATGTTAAACATAAAAGCATGGCCAAAAGGGTTCTTTTCCCATATGAATAATATACAGCACTTTCCAACAACAAATTCTTCAAAATTGTCACCAGATTTCTCACGTTGAAAGGGTCATCGTGCATGTGTGTATAATTCATAAAGCAATGTTAGTGGGAATTCTATATTTGCTGTGTGGCAAACAGTATTTCCACATCAGAGAAACGCCCGTCTCAGAGAAAGTTAAGAGTGGCTTATTCCTAATGTCACGCCTTCGCTCAAAAGATGCTTAGAAAACGTTTTCCCCATTTCATTTCTAGCCAGGATGGCAAAAATGATCTAGCAGATGCAACAAACTATGAACTGCAACTACGCAGTGGCTTATCATATCTATATCTTTGCATTAATTTACAGTGTTCTTTATTTTTTATTAATGGATCTGTGAGGTCAGGCAACATAAATACACAGTATCTTTAAAGCCCACTGGTTCAGTAATTATCCTTTGGAAAGGTGTGAGCAATCCTAAATTAGCCATAGTTCTCTCTCAGTCTGCCTCAGGGTTGCATGTGAAGTTGTCTGTTAAAGTTGTAAAGAGAGCCCTTTTCATTAAACCCCTTCTTATACAAACTAACACAGCCCATCCTACCAGCTCCTGTGGCTTCAACCTTTAACACGAACTGGAGCCTCTTTTATGATTGTCAGATATTAGAATGTACATTTGTTTCCGGGGGGTGGGGGAGTATTTCTTTACTTTGTTTCTTTTACCCTTTTTTAAGTCTTAGACGTTACCTTGTTTTGTGTGGTATCTCAGCACCTGGTAGCTCTTCAGCCTCTTTTTCATCCCACACGCCTCCTCCTGCCCAACATGTTTTTACAAACCCCTGTCCTATTTGATGTAGAGATGCCATGGAATAACATGTTACCTTTTTTATTATTAGAAACCCTTGGATTAAGCCCCTTTCAAACAAAATGGCGATATCAACTTAAATAAATCTTTTCATGTTGAAATGGATCATCGCCACATGTAATATGTAAATACTTTTTCTATACCAGCCATGTGCTGTCACTTTGCATACTGTATATCAGCAAAATTGGTAACCAAAGTTTTATGAATATCAGTTGAGGCCACTACATCCTCATATTGTATCCATTCAATATTGTTTCAGCATTGTTTTACTTGCAACTAGTATAGAATAAGTCAGAGTTGCTGTCTCTTCTAAACTGTGGATTTAAAGTCCAAATAATTTCTTTGTCCAATTTCCTCGCTTTTGTCTTTGAGGCAAGTTAATGCTGTCTGTTCAAGCAGTAATGTCAGTTTATTTTATCACTTTGTAAAGAAATGTAAATTATATTTTAATATGAAGCCAAAAAAAGACACTTAACTGGCGCAGCATTTGTCAAGTCTAAACCGTGACGTGTTTGCCTATATACTGTTCTTTGGCGATCTAGCAGTGAAGACTTTTTGCAGTGTTAAGGGTTTAGAGACTGTTTTACAGGAAGTTTCTATACATATTTTGTTTGTCCTTACTCTGCATATGTCTACCTGATTATTGCTCTAACTGTAAGCATTTAAGTACAAGGTGGAAATAGTCACTAACGCTTAGTGAATCACAACACTGGGACTATGCGGGGGCTAATCGGAGAAAGAGGCCATCAGTTCTTGGTCACCGAAAAGCCAGTGTGAACACAGCACGCTTAGATGAGCCATGGCAGTTGTACAGTCAGACTGCGTGCAAAATTTTTATCACCTGTCATTGTCTTGGATGTGTTGTCTAAGCACATTTCAGTAATGTAATTCACCAGCCACCAGGATGTTCAGCATCCATCTTCACATCTTTCTTGTCCAACAAATCTGCAATTAGTGTGCGTTTGTGTGATGAATACTGTCCCCTTCATGGTGAAATCTGGGCCTGCTCGTTCTTTGTAAGACTCGTGTCAGTAACATACATGCTTTGTTCAAAGGTTTGTAAGTTTACCCAATGAGTTATGAGGGAAAAATTGTTGCATCTTATAACTGTACTTTTTGTGTCACTCATTACTATTCAGTGTCAAGGACGTGTGTGTGTGTGTGTGTGTGTACCTCCCTGTCACTCTGACTGAACAGTTTTCTTTCTGAACTAAGAACAATAGACTTCTGTACTTGTGAATGGTTTTTCTATTTAGTTCCTTGCCTTTCTGCAAGTCAAAAATGCTGTATTTATTACATGCCACAGCGCTTATGCAATTGTATAATCCTTTTGTTGTTTTTTTTTAACCTTTTGTGTTACTTATCGTTAATGTAAATTGTCGTCAAACCTTTTGTGGCAATGGGAAAACTCCTAAGGGAGATTTTCTGTACTTTTTGGACAATGATATGGATTTGTGGGTAGAATTTTGGAAATTCGTTTCTAAGTGCTTTCAAGTATTTACTTGGCCTTATGTATATATATATCTATGACATTTCAGAAAGGTATGTATAGTAATTCAACCTGAAATTGTTGTAAATAAATTATATATTGTTAAATCAAGGACTGGATCTTTTTACTTGGAACATTAACTTGAGTTGCTTATCAATTTATTTTCAAAAATACAAATAATAAATAGTCGGCCAACCAGCCCCTAAAGTTCACTAAATAACGTTATATCACGCTGGTTGTTTACTCTATTCATGAACAAATGTAAAAGAAACTTTGATTCTGAAGGTAGTTAACCGTATTAGTAGTTTTAGTTTATTCATCCAACCTGTCTGTGCAGCATCTCTGCTGAAACCACACTTTATTGATGTATTTAATGTGCTCCCATGAACTGTTGGACAAAGTGTGGTCTGAAGAGCCCACATTTGGTTTGATGAATAACTTATTTTTAAGAGTTTCTCCTAACTCAACCAGTTAGGAGCTTAAACATTACAAACATTAACATTTGCAGTAAAAGAATACTCATAAATTTAATGGTGGCATGGCTATTGTAGAATTCTTGCTTTCTACATTGAAAAAATAGATTCACTAGGGTCTCTGTTACAGCAGCATAGCCGTTTGTGTAAAGTTTAAATTTTTTAATGAGTGAACCAAGGGAAAAAAGCATCAGAAAGTTCATTGTCCTGTTGTTGGGGAAAGCAAAGAGCCAAAATATCAGTCAAATCTTACAGATGGGTTCACCTTAAACACTTCATCCCCGTAATCTTCCCCAGCGTGTGGCATTACTAATTATTTTTATTTGAAACATCCAGCAGCTATAAAAACACTGACAGGCCCATTCTGAAGCAATATAAATACATATTCAAGCCTAGCATGAAACAATCACATCATAGTAACATGAGACAAATCACCATATGTATTTATTTCTTACATTAAAATATCCAATAAATGATCATGTCAAAGCTCTGACAAATCTCCTTACCGTGCAAGAGTGAAGCTTTTAAAAATAATGGCACTTTCTCTGTCACCCATGTGTGACTATTAAAACTGGTTCAATTAAGGATTATTATGACTCAGAATTACAGTTATTAACTGCAGTATGTGCTCTGATTTTCCAGAGAGCCACAGTGAAAAGTAAAGCAGATAGTGCTTCTGTAGAGAGGTGCAGGAGTCTAGTCAGGCAGAAATGGGACACCCCCTGTTATGCTTGACTGGACCCCCATTACGTTAATAGGCACTGCAGTAAGAGACAGTGAGTGGACCAGGGTCCTGAATGGGGCCACCACTTCTGCACACTTAGTACGGTGGTATATCATTACTGCACTATGTGAGATTATTAGAGGCTAAATGGGTCCTCCAACTTGAAAGATACTGACTTGATCTTACTTCAGACTGAACAAGGAGGAGATGAGTAGAGCTGTGAGAATTTCTCCCTAACAGCTACAATTAAATCTAGCTGCATTTTTAATATCCATTCTAAAAATTACTTAAAGTCAACAGGTTAGTGACGACGTGAAGTAATTCATTGACTACCTCCAGTTATAAAATACAGCATTATTATTACAGGCAGTAACATCTGAATTGAAGAAACAGTACATGAAGCTAACATTGAGCCTCAAATATAGAAACAAAAAAACAAAAAAAGAGTTAACTATGTGTGTGGTTGGCAAAGAAGAGATGTAGAGTGTGTTTGAGTGGGCCGGAGGGGGGAGTGGGTAAAAGAGGAGGGGGAGAGAGTGAGATGCATTCCTTCCTCTGAAGATGAAGCTCGCTCTCTCACACTGGAGCAAAGGCATGGCCTTTGCACAGGGGCTTATCCTTCTTCGAGTAGAACGTCTTCCCCTCCAGGTTGATTTGGCAGAGCTTTAAAGATGAAAGGAGACAGACAGAGAGAGAGAGACAGAGAGAGCGAGAGAGAGAGAGAGAGAGATTGGGAAACCAGGGCAGAGTAGATATCAGACCCTAACATTGGCAATGTGAATTGACACAGTTTTCTACCGGCCAGAGCAGGCACATGTTGTTTGCTGAACTGCATTTACTTTCAGTTTTCGTCACAGAATGAAACGGAGATGGAGAGAGTGATAGACTGCAGGTGACAGCGTAAAAGGGAAGAGAAAGAGGGGAAAGCTCGAGGTCCAGAGATGGAGGCAGATTTTTCAGGTGGCATTGTGCAGGGACAGCCAGAAGAGATGGGGGCAAAGAGCCCCACAGGGAGCTATATCGATCATAATGACTTACAGCACAGACGAAGCACGTGTCATGCCAGCTGTAGCCCAAGGCCTCCAGAAACCGATCCCCGGCATCAATCTTAAAGTCACAGCCATGGCATTTGGTGCCAAACATCTTCTCATAGTCTGGACAGAGAAAGAGAGAGAGGTGTTGGAGGAGAGGGGGTGAGCAGCAGCGATATGTGATAACCATCAGAATAAAATAACAAAAAATTCTAAAGAGCTTTTATCATCCTCCAAATCAGGTCAAGCATCTTCCATGACAATATGTAAACATCACTTAACCTTTATAGGATGTTCTGGAGCACAGTGTGTGAAATAGGTTTCCACCTCTTTCATCTTTTAAAGAACTGGAGGTTTTTACTTCTGAAGAGGAGTCATATCCCTCACGCACACACACACACACACACACACACACACACACACACACACACACACACACACGCACACCCTTAAGTACTAGAATAACAGCAATAAAGATGGATGAAGCAGTTTTGAAGCCAAATATTGGCTCTCCTCATAGGGCATTTGATACTTTGCTGTTTAGGTTATTTTGTCCACCCACTGTACGTTAGTACCTTTCCAGAGCGAAAGGCAGGGATTAGGATGAGGCGAAATTGCTCCAGATACTTAACTGGATTTGCCAGTCTCTTTCATCACAAGGACTCTGGGGAAAGTGTCAGGTTATAATGCTGCTTCTCAAGAGTGAGTGGGTGAGAGCCACACAATCCCTGAAAGATGCTGAGGCAGCACAATGTTTATCAGCACTAAAGGCATTATTCAGAGTATGAGTACTCAGGTTCTGGCTTCACCTCTGATAAAGCAGCGACCCACATCGGAGCCTTAGTAGTGAGAGAGAGAGAGAGAAGCACGCCGACCCGCTAAATCATTTACAGCATAATAGAAGAGCATACACCATTCATAAAATCCAATAGAGAAATGTATGAAGTAAACTGGAGCTAAATAGATTACAGCAGATGAAAACATCACACTTTATGATTGACTATGGTACGCGCCAAGAGATTCATGATGTAGGCCCATGCCAAACCCCACAGCAATAATACAACAAAACTGGAGAGGGGACGCCCTGCAGTGAGCTATATTTTTTCAAATGAAACAACTTTATCACGAAATGCACTCCACAAGACCTCTGAATCACCCAGTGGCTGCTTTTCTCTGTTTTTGTTGCCCAGCTTCTGTTATGTACCCTGAATTGGACTGCACTTAGCCATGGCATCCATTTAAAGTTAAAAGATATGACATCTTTCATCAAATAAGCTCATTCACAGACTTAATGCTGTGTGGCAGGATGTCAGTTCCCCCTTAGTTCGTTCTTGGACTTGTGGCCGAGTGCAGATTTACGATAAATATGTAAGGCCTCATCCATGTGTGAAGTTACAGGGGGTCTTACATGGGTTGAGATGTTCTCCAGTTGGCACCTGAACTAATTGATCTGCACACTGAGGATTTTGAGCATGCTTCCCCCACCCGCCCAGTGTTTCATATTTTCTGCTGAAGCATTACCTTTAAATACTGCCTGCCTTTAATTCAAGTTTACAGTTAAATGTTCTGTTAAAGCTAGGTTTTCTGTGTGTGCCACAGCCTGCTCAGCCAGGGTGGCTTCTGCTGCTAACTACCAATTAATTTTTCTAGAAACCACATTAATATGATGTTTCCCTTGGTTTTCAGCACAGGATTTTTCACCATGGAGATGCCTTCGTCTCTTTTATGAAGCCTCAGCCTCTTGAGTAAAAGGACATTCAAACTAAACATTCAGTGAGGACCGAGATAAGGTTACTGTTTATCTGAACATAACTAATTACAATACGCTGATGTCTTTATTATTACTGCTTAAAGTACTGTTTTCCACCAGATACACATGATGGGAGCATTTTGTTCGGAAAGGACACTTTAAACGAACCGATTAATGACATTGTAAAGCAATGGCGGGCACACATTAACACACATTTATCTTAATTTAATTTACAAGTACTGCATTACACCGCAGATGGCCTTGCTGGAATAATTATCATGAAGCGTGAAAGTAGCAGGTTTGGATGCAAATAACGTATGTTTATTTGTCAAAAATGGAATCGAGTCCTTAATACACCACAGCGTTGAACTACTTTGTACTGTTCCAGAATTTCCCAAAAGAGCTAACCATTACTTTTAAGATAGTTTTCTATCATTTTCTGTATTTGCTTCCAATTGTCATAAAAAGGAGAGGCAATGTTTCTATTTAGAATGATCAAGTTAGGGAGTTCAAGTTCCCACCTTTCTCACAGTAGGGTTCGCCCTCCTCCATGTAAAAGGCTTGGTTCCTGATGGGAGTCTTGCAGGCTGCACACTTGAAACACTGTACATGGTAGGTCATCTTCAGGGCATGCATGATTTCCTGATAAAGGGAGAAAAGGTGGTAAAATGTTTTATTTTCAGCCCAGCTGGTGTTGCTGAAGCACAGTGGAGACTACCTGCACGTATTCTTATACAGAGAAATCACAAAATACTACCTTAGAATGAGCAAGTGTCTCTCCTGGTTTTGATTTTGCTCAGCACAGTAGTGCAGTTCTTACCCCTGTGATCTTCTTTTTGCACTTGGCGCAGTTAGGAGCATATCGATTATCATGGCACTTGGTACAGTAGACCGACCCCCTCTCCTCGAAGAAGCCCCCCTCTTCCAGGACTGCCTTACACTGTGAACATGTGAACTCCTCCGGGTGCCAAGAACGTCCCAGCGCCACCAGGTACCGACCCCTGGAAAACACAAACACACCAACAACAGATCAGAGGCATTATTAAAACCTGCTACTTCATTTTCTACTTTAACACTTCCATAGAAATGTCAGCTCCCTTTGTGACATGTGAAAAAGAAATACTGGAGACATGTTTTTAGTTCTACTGGGAGCTATGTACCTCTTCCGTTTGCTTGCAAGAGTGACCAGAATAAGAACTAAGGTTTCTCGGTTATCTGTGAAATGAGATTTAAATTATTTCAAAGTCAGCATAATACTCGTCTCAAGTGATAACAAGATGTCTCCAAACTGTGTTAATTATGCTGACTGGCTTGGTTTGCTGCAGACATACAGTCTGTCATCGTGTACATTCACTGTCTTAAATCATTTCTCTGACAGGAGTTTCAAAGGAGCAAACATTTTTGTGTATTTTATTCTGGTAAAATTAACCAATCTGTCACCCTAGATGTGGCAGGGCGGTCTTACCTTATGATTTTGTTACATGCGCCACATAGCGGGGTTCTCCCGCTGTCTTCGGGTGCCTGCTGCGCTGCCTGCAGGATAGAGCTGCGGTTCTGCATAGGTGTCGGCTGGACCGGTTGCTGGTGCTGGGTCAGGACAGTGCTGGTCTTGTCTGGGCGAAAGCGGTCTGCGAAATTAGCGTCAGTGACCCACGGTGGTCGACTGGAAGGACCTGAACGGCCAGCTGCTGCAGGTGCAGTCTTGGATTCTACGCCAGGGGGGAAAAAAGTGATTTGTTATGGAATTACAGCACTTAGATAAACTTGGCTGTGACTTTGAATAATTTCACAACGGGGAGAGGGACACTTATGTAATATTCACGCTCACACCAGATGTAGGTTGTGACAGTTCTGTGTGTCGTGTTGTTGCTGCTGATGCTCATGTATTGACACTTAATAAGAGTCTATTAGCACAACCTCTTCTGGATGCTACTGGGGTTCTTTTTACGCATCAGCAGGAGCAGAAACTCACCATCTGGTTTATCTGCTGCCTGGGCCTTGGCAGGTGAGGGAGTTGGCTCAAGGCTGTGGGGAGAAAATGACTAATTAGAAAAGTCACACACACACACACACACACACACACACACACACACACACCTCTCAGTAACCATGGTTACTATTCAATGAATGTCATGTTTGGATATGAGCAGCCATGGCTTTCTCCATTACACTGTGACACAGATTACCTTCTGTGTGAATCATCATAAGCACCATGATTATTAATATTAATCAGTATCAACAGGACAGCACAGGTTTCTCACCTGTTTTGGTGAGACAAGCTGGTTAAGTGTCGTAGAACAATGAAATACACTGTTATAGACTTAATTGAATGGCAGGACATTTCACATGATTACTCAAGCTGTTGTGAGGAAAAGAAAGAAAAAAAAAAAAAAAAAATCAAGCATGTAATTCAAATCAATGCTAACGAACGGATACCATAAAGACTCTTGAAGCCCCGAACATCTCAGATTGATTGACGTCACTCACAGGCAAAGTTAGTGAACGAGAAACTGTCAGATTTGGATGTGGAAGAGTTTCGCTTCAAGCCTGCATGTGCAGTAGTGTTGAAATAAAGAGTTGTTTCTACATTTCAAAGTTGTGTTACCCGCAGCAAGCGTCACTATATTCAGAAAGTCTTCAAACCATAACTGAGACGGAAAAACAACTTCTGAGCCAAGACATAGAGCTCTGGAGACGTCTCATCTTGGGAAAAAAATATAACACCGCCTTAGGCAGCTATCATGTTTACATCATCAACCATGCCATCTACAATACACTAATGAAAGATGATGAAATCATTTCTCATTTGCAAAGAAAAAGAAAATGTGAAATGAATTACCCTGAAACAGCTTTCTTCTATAGCATCGCCTGTATCAGGTTAAGTCTGCCTATCATTTATATCCCTTATGTAGCCAAACAACTAAAACACAAGAAGTTACAGAGGCAGGAGAAGTTACACTTACAGCTGGGAGCTATCTAGCAAGAACAATAAAAAGAGTCTGCTATTTTCCAAACAGCATACTCTGAATAATAAAGGACATTAAATCCCTTTGCAATAGAAAGAAGATGGCTTGCAGGGCTGGTGACAGACAGGAAGTTAAGTCTTTCTAAATTAAGGAAGGTAAGACGCCCCCCCCACCAAGAGATTTTTGGAGAAAAACTACAGCAAAACAGATTGAAAGGAAGAGAGGAGGCTGGATGAGATGGATTTCCAGCAGTAAGGTCAAACAAAGGACAAAACTGGTTTCAGCCTGCTTGACACACAGACCCTGGGTCAGCTGCCTTTCAACCCACACATCGGCACGCCTGCCTTCTGGGACTTCACCTTATCAACTCACAAAAAACAACATCATCCAGGTCAACACAGCAGCCCCAGCTACACTCCCTTGCCATGCTGCCCTACATGACAACAAGGCCAGCGGCGCTGACTTCTCACACACTGAGAGGTCTGTGTGGCTGCACCTCACTCTGGTGAAGGTTGCAGGTGCAAATTGGAGAACATCCTCTACAGCAGCTTATTCCCACCTGGAGAAGCCTGGATTATGTTTTCTTGACATTTTCACTGCCTTCATCCTCCTCCCCCTTCTGCTCAGAGAGGCGCTCAGCGTGATGCAGGTGCACAATTCCTGCATCACAGACTGTGCAGACAGGAGGGCTTTTTCTGCCTGCGACATAGAGCTTTGGACATGCTGCAGAGCAGCACCCCATGGAACGTCTCCTTGACATTTCCTGTTCACTCTTTACACCTCAGAATTTTTAGGGTGTGTTTTTTTGGCTTCCTCTCCCGTGGGATGCATCGACCTGAGCAATGAGGAAAGCAGAGGAGTTTGTAGACAGCTCAACATGCGGCAAAGAAAGGAGCCATTGTTGATTTTAGATGGAGCAAGAAGCCGCTGACATGCGTCACCCTCTACAGCGAGGAGTTAAAAGTGATTCAGCTCTGCAAAAACCTGAATGTGACAGCTGACAAAATGTCAAACAATGGTGGCACACGTCTGAGAGGTCACAGAGAGGCACTGCTTTTCCACTCAGGTCTTTTAACGTATAAAACGAGCACCTCCTTTCATCCCTCGTCCCTTATTTACAAGGCACGTGTCAAGAAAAATACAATTTTGCAATTCATGTGTAGTATTTTTCACTTTTTATATGAACTATTACCCATTATTTCCCCAATGTGTTTCCTGTTATCTGCTGATATTCTTCACATGGTTTTCATGGTTGACTCCTCTTAACTTGACAAATCTGACATTAAGTGTGTGATGAGGCCGTCTGGCTGCTGTCTGGACACGTTTGTTGCCTTTATTTTTGGTTTTCTGTGTATGAAATAAAACCATTTCCCTATTTTAATGTAACCAGCTTATTTCTTTAAAATAGCAGCTATCTAGTTTCCTGCTGCCATGAAATGCATCATTTCTTCAAACTATGTAAAGCTGAGCACTTTACATGTTTTTATCACAAACCATTAGACAATATTACCTAGCAACCATCAAATTTTTCACCTGGCCACCTAAAGACAGCAGTACATTTTGTACCTTCCGTGGACCTTTTTACCTAAACATTATTTCTTTTAAAACATCTTCATCAGGATAATATACAAGGTAGATTTATTTATCATTTTACAATGCAGGGGTGTATAACAAGATTAAGTTGTAGTTCCCTTGATGCTACTCACACAAAGCAAATGTTATATACAACGATTATATACACAGTAGATGGGTGGATCAATAATAAGTCACAGAAATAAAAGAATTTTACATGGTGCAGTGCTGAGGATGAATTTAGGATTCTCACAGCCAGGAGGAAGTTGAGCAGTAGGTTGTTCTCTGTGCACCACTCTGCAAGATTGTTGAGACTTCGTATTGGGAGGAAATCATCGTTGTTTGAATTCTTGCTGATGAGGCTGATGTCCGCAAGCATCACAACAGAGGTCTCTCTATGACGGGGGGTTGCAGTCGTGGGTGTACAGTATGAACAATGTATGCCTAACCATCAAAAATACTGCTACTGAAATGTCATTTTTAAAAGTCGTTAATGCAACTTGCCATTAGATCTTTTTCCTCTGAGGGAAGGCCACCATACTGCAGTAATTACTCTTCTGAACTCTAAATAAGACTATGTAGGTCTTTTTTTTTTTTTTTTTTTTTACAGAGCTTTAAATACTTTATTTCAGACAACACACAAAAGGGCTGCATTTCCTCAGTGTGCACCTCTGCACTTTGATTGTGTATTACTTCATGCGTGCCCATATGTTGTTTTTCTGCCTGAATGCACAGGCACAAAAGTAAACCTTGATCCCTGAATCTGTGAGGAGGCACCCCATTAATTCAGAACTGCATAAATACTCCCTGAAACCCCTGTATCTACATACCTGGTGTACTGAAGAAAATGGTTAAGTGAAGACAGTGTTATGACTAAAGAAAGAGAAGGAGGAGAAGTTGGATATCAAGAGATGTATCCTTTTAAGCCTGAGTACTGAGTGAACAAGAGGAAAAACACAGAAGAAAGGACAGAGAAGCGAGAGTTGCTTTTTTTCCAAATGTTTTATATTTTTGATGACAGCAGAAAAAAAAACAAAAGTACAGCTTTGTCTTCATTTTCTTTCTTAATGGTTGGAGAAGCCTACGAGATGAGAGGATCAGAAATGAAAACTCTAAAAAGGATGAAGGACTCAATAAATGGGAACAGGCAGAGAGAGAGTGAGAGAGAGACAGAGATCAAAGGAGGGTCTGAACTTCACAATCAAAAGAAGAATAATGAACAGAAAGGCGCTTCCCACTGCTGAGACCCCCCCCCTTCCCACCAGTTTACTCCAAGTAACAGTGTGAAATGGAAAATAGGTCTACAGACACAGTGGTCCACAGTGTTGTCAACAATCAAGTCAGAAATTCAGAGGGAGATCTTACACTTGGGCTCAGTATGCAAGGTTCCACTTTGGGCTTTGTCATCTAGGCTATGTTCCTTCTATTTTTGGTTTGCTTTTCTTTTTTTTTTTTTTTTCTTCCCCTAAACTTCTTTTTCACCCCATCTGTGTCTGAAAGGTGAATTTGTTAACTGCCATTGGGACGGTCGGCTATCTTCGTCGTCTTTGTCACGTAGTCGTTGCGGTGTGGCTATCGCTAGCAGGCTCTGGCTGGGCTCTGCGTCCCATGGCGTCTAGGATGTCGCCGAGGATTTGATATTGAGGGAGCGAGCAGACCTGTCGTGGTGCCAATCCCTCAGACGGGCATAGCGGGGACTCTGAATCTCAGTGAGGAACTTTTCCCTGACGGCAAGCAAGACAGATATGAAACAGAGATAGACAGGAAGGAAATAGATTGTAGGGGAGAGAGTAAATAAAAAAAGAAGCAGCAAGAGTGCAGAAAGTAAAGTGCACAAAAAGAAGAAAAAAGTAGCAGAGAAATGAAAAAAAATGACACCGCATTGACAGAATAAGGATATGAAATTAAAGGGAAAATTTTAAAGTTGGGAGATAGATTTATTGACTTTATTGCCAAAAGTTAGATGAGAGGAATGGGAATGACTATCAAATCTGCTTAGCTTAGTACAAAGACTGTAAACGTTTAGCCTGGCTCTGTCACGTCTGAAGCTCACCAATAAACAGGTTAAATCTAGTCTATTTAACCGTATAGAAAGCAAAGTGTAAAAAAAGACACATTGTTTTCAAGGAGGGTTGTGTGTGGTATTGTCTCTCTGCTGGTTGCCTGGAAACCTCACGGTGATAACAATACTGCAGGCTGTTAATGCGCCCATCTGATAAATAGTCTGGTGCAGGAAGGTGCACGTAGTCTGATTTTAATACCTTTGGCCAAAGCCAGGCTAGCGATTTCCCCTGTTTCCAGTCTTTATGCTAAGCTAAACTGCTGGCAAATAAGCTGCAGTACAGACATGAGAACAGTAACGCTCTTCCCATCTATCTCACAGCAAGATAGCGTATTTCTTCAATGCTGAATAATTCTTGTGCCGTAAAGCAAATTCCTGTTCTAATAATATAAAGGATGTTGAAATCACACCACACATGCCAACACAGAAAAATCCAACAACAACATAACTGAAGGTAGATTTTAAATAAAATAAAAATTGTCCAACTCAAGCCTCCACGCACAAACACAGAAACTTACGACCGAGAAGGCGGATCAAAGTTTTTACCTGGACCGCTTCATGTTTTCATCATCTGGGTCCTGCACTGAGATCCAGGAGAGACACACATCAGCATGCCTTACTGATAAGTCAAACCGCTGATAACATGATACACAATGCGTTCTAGTGAATGCTGCTGTTCCTACACAGCCTCTCTGGTAATAAACATGTCGATGTGAAGTCAATTTGTCAGACCGGTTACAGAAGAAAAATAGGTGTCGCTGAAGACAGTTGCCACCTGACAGTTGAGGCCCCCTATCCACAGCTGAAAAATAGACACCCCTGTTATCCACCTTCCTGTGTCACTCACTCTGCTGTCTCTCTGTGATCAGATCACAACTATTCAATCAGAGGCCTCCCCCTACAACTCATCTTGACTACCGGAGAAGCTCACCCCCACCAACCCATTAGTCTCTCTGTTGCCTCACTACTACTGAGCAAGCCAGGTCTCCCGACTTACTGAAGTCGGTGCCTGTGATCTGGGCCAGGATGCGGAAGGAGCGGGACTGGGTGGTGCCGGTGCGGGGCTGCCAGTCCTCAGTGTCCTGGATCAGCCTCTTCTTGCTGCGGTCATTGGGGATAAAACAGGGCATGTTCTCCACCCTGAGGCCGTGCCTGCGCGCGCGCACGCACACACACACACGCACACACACACGCACACACACACCCAGCAGCAGCACACAGCAGACGTAGTTAACACAATCCCATCTAATGACTACCCACTCAAACCAATCCAGCTAATCAGGTGACCTTGAAAACAGAGGACATCCTGATCATCCTGAGATCATGCAATACTTAATGCTCAGCATCACGGCAAGCTAATGGATACCCACTACTAAGATTTCTCATGGGTACACTGTAGACTCTCATAAATGGACAATACCACATTAGAGATCACATTTATAAGAGAAAAGCTGGCAAACTACAGTACCTGGCCTTGTTTGTGAAAGCATTTTAAAACATATTATAGCTTTTATTTTGATGAACTACACAAAAAATGCTTTTCATTTCAAACATTCAATAGGGTCGCAGGTCAACAGCAGCATGCATCCATCATAAAGCAAGTAGTGGACGATAGATGAATGGTCACTAATGAATTGCAATCTTTGGGTTTACAATAGAGAGACACAGCAATGTTTGAATCTAACAAGGAGCATCAGCTCTTTTCTCCTGTCATATCTAGCCTGGCCTACTAAAGCTGACAAACCAGCCTGCATGCAGCTGCCCCTTACTTGGAGTGTTGGTACAAATCATCATAGTAAGTTGCTTCACCCCTGTAGAACAGACCAAATATCAAATGAAGACAAACTGTATGAGGTTAAGGGGTTGCAAGATAACCTGGAGGTCATGAGATGGTTAACAGGATAGAAAAACAAAAAAAACTGTTCTAATAAAACAGATCTAGACTTTTCTCTAATCGTTGTCTTGTTTCTTGTAACTTGTTGGGTCACTTTAAGTTAAGTTATTCAAAGTTAAATTATTCAAAATATAACAAAAAAATATAAAAAATTAGAATCAAGGAATTGGTCACAACCAGTAAATACAGTATACGCAACCAATCAGCGGCTGCAAGATGCAAATGATTTAAGAGGTCACAAGACAAAAAAGGTTGGGAACTCAATGATTATGAGTGTGAATGACAATTTAAAAAAGGCAAAAAAGCACACATTTTGTGCTAGACTGTGAATGCAAAAAGAAATATATACTAACTTGTCAAGAGTTTCCATCTGCAGCGTAAAAAGAAAAGAGGAAAACAGAAAATGAGAGAAAGGTCAGAGTTCAGCTTTGAGTTAAACAGAAGGAAAACCAGAACAACCAGACCAAAAATACTGCAGGATGTGGAAAACATGCAAGAGGTGACGTGAGGCATGCAGTTATTGTCAACAGGCTCTGTAAGACAAAGACGGCATTGTTGGACAAATCATCTATTGTCAGCCTGACCCAAAATGACTCTGTAGATTTGGCACAAAACAATTATATGACTAACCCTGCTCTAATCCTTGCGCACAAATCCTCTTCAGAGTTATGGAAATGGATGTAGCATGTGCCAAAAAAACATTACCTAATTTGTCTTTGCAACTACTCTTTTTTCCTTTTTTTTTTTTTAAGTTCTGATACCCCTGTCAACAGAGCTAAATGCCACAGCAATGATGCATGATGATGTCAAAGTACGTTCTGTACAAACAAAAACTGTTTGAATAGGACAGGCCTAGACACATTAGACGTATTCAGTTTGCATCGAACCGTTTGCTGTCTGGAGAAATCCAACAAGGTCTTTATCTAAAGTGGACCGACAGTTATGATCAGGTTCTATTCTTCTCAAAGATCTGCGCTTCGTCCCTCTGCAGAGAAACTGCACAACCATGTGAGCCCCCCCTAGAACAATGGTTCTCAAACTTTTTTCCCCCCACATCAAGGACCTATAAACTGACACAAATTAGACCACGAACCCCCATTTGATAGGAGTTTTGCTGTTAGATGTTTTATTACAGAAAGTGCATAAAACAAACCAAACTAAACCAAAATAGTCATCCATTCTGTCATTGTCTTACATTGTGACGGAATTAGAGTGAAAAAAAAAAAAAAAAAAATCAAAGATTGCCCTTTGTTGCTGGGGACCCCGTGGAGCCCCCTCAAGCACCCCCGGGACCCTACTTTGAGAACGGCTGCTCTAGAGTTAGCAAGTATGGCTGGTTTAATACCCCTGCACCAGGGCAGTAAAAGCTGCACGAGAACTCAGCTCACAATTTATGAGTGAGGCTAAATACAGCAACATACCACATTTCACCAACGGCTGCAGTCCGACCATTACCATCAACCAAATTACAGGAACCAGGCTGGCCAAGACCATTTCATGCAATACTGCCACTTTCAGGATCATTTAAAATACGTTTTGATCCATTCCTGGGATCCTTGTAAAATCTGGAGAATACTGACCTTTATTTTATGTAATTATAGCAGTATACAGTTTGGTCATGGGAACGTTAACTTCATTTCAACACACAGCAGCTCCAAAGCTCAAAAAAAAAAACCAAAAAAAAAAAAAAACGCAGCTTTGAAACCAAGTTGCTGTTTTGTTTTTACATAGCTATAATCATTTTAATTAAGCACGTTAACAGCTAATGAGGAGGCCTCCATCTTAGTTCATATATTTTGTTAAAGAGTTAAAAAGATGGACCAAGATCAAGACTTTCCATCACTACTACTGTGATTTGACAAATAACTACCTGCATAGGCCTCTGGTTTCTCCAGTATGGTAAATGCGGAGAGAATCATGGAATTTAAAAACAAATGGATGTTTCTGGTGACATCACTACCGAAGTAAGTCATTTTTAAGCATAATGCAAATAGACAGATGTAATTAATTGTATTATTGGGAGGTATGACTTTCGACTAATGTAGTAAGTGACAAACGAAATGGCTTCTAAAAGCTGAGAAGTACAATTTAGTCTAAAGTTTAGTGCAGAGCAGGTTCCATTTCTTTCCAGCATACTACTGACTGCAATTATTATTTGTATCTTCCATCTCCAGTCAATAACCCATCTGGGGAAATAGCAAATAAGTTCTCAAAAGGTGGATTGTTTTGCAAGAAACGATACATTCCTCACAGTTTGTCTGTTATATTTTCTGTAAAACAGCCTTTGTCATCTGATAAATTCCCCTATAGAGGTCTTTTAGCTGAAGGAAGCCAGCTTAAATTGCATATGTCAGCTAAAAATTCCCTCCTATGCTAACAAAGTGTTTGCTTTCATCTGTATGATAAAAGCAGACACCATCAGGTCTGTTTAGACAAAAGGCTGACAACAAGCTCTTACTTTTTCCCTAAATTATTCTATAGTAAGAGTTTATCATGACAATATATAACGGCAGCTTCTTACTGCTGGTGTGTTTAGCAATAGCGAAAGTTTATACTCTTGTTTGTTAAATTATTGGCAGACAGTAGAGTAATTAAGTACATCTCAGCAGTGAGTCAGCACACATTTGTTAGGTTTATCCTTTCTTAAATGTTTCCTAAAGTTGTGACAGAATTTGGAATAAAATACAATTCTTCACATAATGCAATTTGGAAATCCTGAAGGAGATTTTCTCTTTAGTGTAAAACCAGAGTAATGACACATCAAAATACCATTAAAACCACATTAGTCATATTGTGGTTCCAGAGGTAATAGTTTATTTATACACCTACCCGTTCTGTGGCTGCTGCATGCTGGCACGGCCCTGTGAGGGTGCTGTGTTAAGTTTAGGGGAGTAGGCCACGGGTTTAATAGCAGGTCCTGAGTTTGCACTACCACCACCTGCTGTAAATGGCCTCGCCATCTTGTTAATAGTTGTGCTGGGGGCAAAGGAGTACTTTGGCTGAACAGAAGTCGAAGCAAGAGAGTCCTGTGAGGGTGTGGGAGAGGGAGACGATGCAGCACAGCGCACAACATGCCGTTAGACAATTTTGACACACAGTAAAAGTTCCGTCTGCTGTTGCACAATCCCGAGCTTTATGCTAAGAAAGCTTCCAGCGCGGCCCAATACTTTCTCATAGAAAATGATTACTCCGGGCTGCAGAAGCAGCTCTGTCAAAGCCTGCTGGCTTTTCTCTGCACACGGAAGAAGTGCTTAAGAAGTGTGAACATAGCCATTTCATTTGTGTTGGCAGTCTGCCACAGACTGGCCAAAGTAATCTGCTACTGCTGGTAAAATGAAAATGCTCCAAGTGAGAAATTGTCATATTTGACTGACATGTCTCACTAATGAGATTTCTCACTGAGCATTATGCACAGACTGCAAAAGAACGCAGACTAAAATGGAACATTGAGTTTGTGAAAGTATTATGTTCCTGCTGCTTTACTAAAAACGGCGTGCAGCACAAAGCAGTTCATGACACCACTGTACAATTCAAACTGTAATCAGCTGGGCAAGTACCTCTTAAGGGGTTTGACAGTGAAACTAAATGTATCAGTATAACTCTAGTATCAGGGATTGTGCAAGGCATCACAAAATAAACCACAGGAAATTCCAAAAGCAATATTCACTCCAACACTCCATCCAGCAAATAACTCATTTAGCGACTCGATGATGCTTTGCTAATGTACAGTGCATGGACTCTGTGAAAGCTTGACAGGTGAATCAGATGGCTTTAAACACAAAGTGACATAACACACAGTTAAAGCCAATTGTGAGCAACGATTAAAAGGAAGTTTCAAATCCAATCAATGTCACTGTGGTCCAGAGCATGCCAAAGCATCCAAGTGTACATACAGAGGTAAGCTCAATGTTTCAGACAAATATTAGTCTTACCTTCTGGTCACTACCTGCTTTGAAAGCTCTGTGAAAAGAAAAGACAATGACAGTTATTAATGGTTATTTATAATAAACTCAGTCACAAAGTTACAATAATGAGTACTGTAATTCCTATATCACAAAAGTCTGCAATGATTCAGTCAAAAGACAAGTTGTGTTTGAGACAGCCTCCCTAACAGAATGCTTCTACTGTATGTTTTCTCCCCTCCCGAAATAATGTTTTGTTTTATACATTTTTTTTTAACAAAAATCTATTATTCAAACTGAAGTTATTACAACTAATATTAAACTATTCCTGAAACAATACTACAGAATGATGTTCTGCTTGTATTATGCATTAAATACAATTTTATTACAATGACAAAATCCCCCCGGGTGGGGCTTATTGTTGTAGTTTTGGCCATCTTTCCCACTGGTATTAAATAATAATAAGTGGGATTAATAGAATACAAGAGAATGCACTCAAAATATTATAATTATCCAATGCTTCATAAAACTACATGAGCACACATGCACGACTGAACCAAGAAGTAGCCCTGGAAATGATACTGTTGAATTCAGGATGTTTCCAACTAACAGTTTGGTTAATCTTCCTTTGTTTTCATATCTAAACATGTGGTTAAAATGATTGGGTAACACTGGACTTGTTTGTTTGTGTTTTCTCCACGGACTCCACTGTGATGTTGTCTCAAGCAGAGTCCCTTTACATCCCAACAATTTAGCTAATCACCAAAAGATGGTACAGAAATGATGGGAAAGCGTTCTCTCTGTGGTGGCATTTTAAAACACCAAAACCTGACTATTTTCCACTTAAATCTTTGGTCTGTCTGTGGATTCACCCACTAAGCTAGGAATACTGCAAATGCCACAGTGATGTAGACTTCTTAACTCTAATCCCAGGATTCACATTACTGCAGTGCCTTTGCTGACTGGAGAAACACAGCAGACTGCTCATTAAAATATCTTCACGCATTAAACATGGAGGCACATCGCTTTACATTAACATACTAACTAACTTACTAAACATAAACCACTACTACCATCCCCTGACCAACGTTTGCCTGATACAAAGCCAAAATAAGTTTACGCAAGAATGAACCAGACCTGCAGTCACCCTCACTGTTTCAGGCTACAATCTCACACACACACACACACACACACACACACACGGCAGCGCTTCCTGGGACGAAAAGAAATGTGAAACTGCTCATGTCACTGCCTGTTCAACCATTGAGCAAGACACAAGGAGAACAGGGCTAGATACAGAGAGGGGAGCAAAGGGAAGGCATACTGACATGTCTCTGCATGTCACACTTCTGGGAACTATCTATGTGGAATTTACAGTGCTTCAGATCACCTTAGCCCACCATTTGATGAGTCACCCAAAAAATAAATTTTAGGCAATATAAGGAATGTGTATGATCACTGCTACGTACTTTTTTTTTTTCACAAACTGGACTTCAGTGAACGAATATGGACATGATTAAGTCACAGTTTCATGGAATAATTTAGTTTGCTTGGACTAGGTTTGACCTGTGCTGAAACTGAACACACTATGAGATCATTTCCTGCCTCATTTCACGGGTCACTTACTTTAGCTGTTGCATGCTTGGCTTTCAAGCTGATGTTAGATAAAGTCAGAAAAAAAAAAAAAAAAGAAAATCTCCCATGATACTGTAATGAACTTTGCACACAGCACCAACATACTCCAACCACAACCCTCTAGACCAATCACTGAAAGTGAGGATTGAAATATGGACCTTTACTGTCCCTGTAAATGCAACATGATGTGCTTTCTTTGAAGATGAAAAAAATAAAAATCTATTGCCCATATTTTTCTGATTCCACTCCCTATAAAAAAGGCTGTGGATAAAGCCTAAAACCTTACCATAAAAAAGACAGGAGATGATCATTGGTGTTGAACAAAATGAGGCACTAAACCAAACAACAGAACATATCTCATCACTGTGCAGCTGTCCTCCTCTCTTGACATAAAAGAAACTGTGGATGGCAGCCAAGATACCAATAAATAAAACTGACAATTGCTCTTCTTCGAGAAGTGTTTCAGGAAAACAATATATTCTGGTCTTACAATATAATAACAATAGGAGAGGGTGAGATGAAGAGAGAGACTGGAGATTCATGGGAAGGGAGTCATGGGTAATATAAAAAAAAAAAAAAAAAGGAGTGGAAGAACATGAAATATTTACAATAGCTGGACCCCACAAGGAGATGAGAAATAGAGGAGGCGAAGCACAGAATACAGGAAAAGTTTGGCTCGTGTTAAGTCAACATGCCTGCTTATTACATGTCTATCACATTACACCACTCCTATGATAGAACACTGAAAAAAGAAAACTATTCTTTTATTAAATACACGTGTGACTTACATTTTAATATGCACAGTAACAATGTTTTCTGCCATTAATTGTCTGTTTAAATGTCACACACAAATCCACACTTAGTTTTGATATGCAATACCCATTAACACATCACAGCCTCACATCAACACAATGATTTCATCTTCCTTCACAAGAAAAAACATTTTCAAACCCCTGAAAGGAATTAAACAGACCTACAGCAAACTTTCAGGGGGGGCACATCTGGCTCATGTATGATGACTGACCCTCAACCATCCTTCAGCAGAGTGCATGGCGTCACTGTTCTTGATTCTTATCCCCTCACCATAAAGGCTAACACGATTCTCCATCTCCTTTCTAATTCTTCTTTCCTTTTCTCTCTGGAACAGACTCTGTTCTGTTCTGAATCTACTGCTCTCCCTCACACTCCTTTGAAAACATTTAGTAGGTCGAAGTGTAGTGTGACCCATGTCTGCAGGGGGTGAAAAATGTATGCAACATCAGCAATGTGTCTTGTTGGCTGTATGGAACAGAGGAATTGCAGCTCTTTGCTAGAATATACAGTAACTCTTGTCTCTGGGCATATTAATGCATGTTACACCCCACTTCAAAAATCTGCCTTTGATCCCCTCAAGTTTAACATTCTCTGAAGTCTGGTCTTACCCCACCCACTTTTCCCTCTCGTCTTATCCATCTTTCCCCTATTGTTCCGTCTCTTCTGTCTGGTGCTTTACTGTTATCTCATCTTTCTCAAGCTATTCTATTCAAACTAAATTGATAAACTAGCTGGATGATAGCTCCTTTACTTTATTTTGTGATTCAGCAGAACCCATAATGTCTCAATATTGATGTCAATGCCACCATCATCTGTTGTTTTCAACATTCGCTTTGTATTAGGGCTGCAACTAATGACTATTTTCACAATAGAATAATATGCAGAATATTTAAAGTATGAAAAATGCCCTTTTAATTTCCCCCATGCCAAAGGGGTGTCTTAAAATGTCTTGTTCAACTACTAAAAAGTCCAAAAACCAAAGCGTATTATCATGTATGACAAAGAAAATCACCATATTTGAGAAGCTGGAACCAGCTAATGTTTGGCAGGGACACATGAACTGGCAGACCCACTGGATTTAGTGATGTGTACAGAGACATCTACTGTATGCTGTGAGAGGAGCCAGGCATATGTTCAAAAATATGCAGCAAATATCCACCATGATCTCTAAATCTGAAACTATTAGTTTATGTTCTGGCTCTTTTCTTCTGGAAAGTCAAATGACCCGTGGCTGTTCTGACACTCAACAAAAGTGAACAGAGAAGGTTTGTCAGAATTTAACAGCAGAGTCTCTTGGCAGGCTACAACAAGATGAACTAGATGTAAAAATCGCTGTATTGCAGCTGTAATCACAACCTCTTTACCTATGAGTATCTCAAAATCAAAAAGAGTCCCATGACAGCAGCAAGGCTCATCTTTTTTTACTTAACAAGTCAGTATCTTCTCTTCTGAAGGCTTAACGTTAAATGGTTACATTCCACCTTTATTTAGGGAGGGAAAACTTCTTTTATAATTAAGCTCCTGATGATACATTTTGGCTTGTACTCTACAGAGATGCTTTATCAGTCAGGGATTTCTGGCAGGAGTTATGCGAGTAGGTATAAATGCTGAAGGCTAATTAAAATAGGGCTAAAGAAAAAAAAAAAAAACAACAAGGTGTTTTAATCTGAAGAAAGAGTTTCTCTGATTTCATTACAAAGCTAAGGCATAGTGTAAGGCCCCCATGGCTCCTCTGAAAATAGTTTATTTCAGCCAAACAAAGGAGAGTGTGTCCGCCTGACAGCCTTTGGCATGCGAATCTGCTGCTAAGTCCCGACTACTCAAACCCTTGCTTCTTTAGGATGATAAGGACAGACTTTTACTGAAACACTAAGCCAGGAACAATACAGATTGCATGGCCCTCCAATACTGCGCAATCCTCTTACCTTGCATTTAGATTTGAATCAGCATCAAAATATATATATATTGATTGGTGATAATGCTGAATTTTGGACACCTAAATCCTGTGTATGAATATTTGCTTTGTAGAAGGTTCAACTGTGCAAAATTCAGACTCATAACCACTACGTTATAGTCACTTAAATCTCTCATCTTGCTGTTACACTACCTATGAGCAAAATTTATTCATATTTTGCAGGATCACTCTGGGTTCATATGGCCACCTGTCCTGTGAATGTGGCTCCCAGTGCACAATGTATTCAGTAGGTTCGGCAATGTTTAAGTTAGGCCATGCCAGGAAGACACAAATTTGTCAAAAAACAGTGTGGGATAACCACAAAAAAATAATAATAAAGATAGACCACCTAAATATGCTATGCACAGTACAGATTCTGAGAAGACTGGATAAAATGAGTAGAAGGACTAATTATACAGCAGTTTGCAAAACCTTGAAATCTATGTAGGTGGAACTTGGCACACCTTTATGCAAAGATACGAGTTGGACCAGGTAAATAATTTCTTCTATGCCTCACAGTTCAGCAGTGATGAGCAAAAGCATAAAGTGCTTTATAAATGACCATATGGTAGTGCGATCAGTACCCAACAACTAGTTTGTTTTTGGCTCATGGACTAACTTTTCACCAAACTCCACGGAAATCTGTTCAGTTGTTTTTGAAATATCCTGCTAATTACTGTAACAGACAAAGAAAAAAATAGGACTGAAAACCTCCCCAGCAGAAATTGTTATTTTTTTGACAGCATGTACTAGTGGGGTAAGTCACTAGTTATGACTTACAAGGGAAATGAAATTCAAGTCCAAGTATAAACCTAAAACTAGTTTGAGCCTTAGGGAGAAATGAGTGTGTGTGAAGATAACTTTAATACCAATGTGTTTTGCAACTATTGGTCATATAGAGACACATTTCAAGGACATTATGGTATTTTATCTCTCCAAAAGGAGGATGTGTGTTTTGTGGTGATTTATGCTGCTGTGTTTGACCGAGATAAAATGGAGGGCGAGCGATCGGGTAGTGTTTTGTTGCATCATGCATTGCCAGATGACTTACTTGCTGAGGGTGAGGGTGAGGGAGTCTGTTGCTCCTCTGATCTTGTTTTGTGCTTCAACATGGGTCATGTCCTCTGCATTGAAGTTATCGATGGACACCACCCAGTCTCCTACCCCTACGCCGGCCTGAGCTGCCTTCCCGCCCGGGGTCAGCTGGAGAAAAGAGAACACAGGGCCAGAAACCAGGTACATGAGGACAGGGTTTTTAAAAAAAACAAAAACGTATAAACGTGTTAAAAAGGGATTATCCCAGTCAGCAAGGCATGTGTAAAAACATGAACAGATAAAAGAAATAAGAAAGAAAACATTTTCAACCATGAAAGTACTTACAATACATTATCTCCTATTATCTCACAGCAAAGCAAAGTAAAATGCAGGAAACACTCAAAAAGTCACGTTCAGTTGACAGTTAGCTGAAACGTTAACAACACTTAATGATCAACTCAGGGAGTCCGTTTGTCTGGGTCTGACAAACCAGCCCGAGAGGTTTCACTCAACACTATCGGGAACAGTCATTATAGGTCATCATGATGTCAGTCATCAGCATATGATTTACTGCAAATGTGACTTTAAGAGCATGTAAGGACCTCTTGCCTCTTGAAAGCTGCAGACAGGGACCATATGTTACAAATAGTCACCAGTTACTGGAACAACCCATCTAATTTTCCCATCCATTCAGGTAAGTCACTGAGCCGTTTCACCGACAAAAGAATGACATCATTCTCTCGGTGTGTCACACAGACATACTGAGTCAGAGCAAAGGGCTGGAGTCTTGTTACAAACAGGAAGAACTTGACATAGTCTATATAGGTAGTAATGGTTTTCTACATGTGCACAGACTACACTGTCTACTGTGTATATCAGTGGTTCTAGACGACATGGCTGAGATGCCAAATCATGTTTAGTAAGGGCTTAGTCAGCTTGCCCATGCGGCTTAATGAAACTCGAGACTTGTGTCAAATTCTCAGATAACCAGAGTACAAAGTGTTCAGCATCAGATAAGTGAGCGAGTGCCAGGATATCTGGCAAAAAAAACCCTATTAGGATTACTCTCTGATGTCATGGATCCCTGCAAATGTTAGCTCATCAAAAGCTCAGAGGACTCAGCAGTACGATCAATAGTTTTCTGCCATGTTCAGCTAAGCTATCACACTTGCTGCTTTGATTCTGCACATTAAACATAAACACCTATGTGAGCAGGGAGGTAATATGCTCTGTAAACCTATGACAGCTCAGGCTGGAAAAACTACTCCGCAGCCCACAAAGACAACGAAGTTAAAGCCTGCCTTGGATCAAAACACAGCAAAGCTAAAAATAGTAAGAGATGTGTTCCTCAGAGGCAATCCATGCTACACTTATTTTATAGCCAAGTTCAAACATCACTTTAATTGCCTCTGATTTGCACTCACTGGAAGCAATTAGAGGGGTTAAGAAAGAAAGCATTTCTCCAGTTTAGAAAGAACTTAAGAGAGTTTTAAATCTTACACTGGGGAGAAACTACTATGACATGGCCACAAGTGAAAAGGGGCACAGCTTGGCATAATGTCTCTGAGGTCACTACGGAGAGCAGCAGCCTCCTCCTTCCTGTTATACTGGACAGCAAAACTTGAGCACCATGTCATTTTACCAAAATAAAACAATGATTTTGTTAGTGTTTAACAACATATCCGATGATCCTTAGCCACACAGAAGCTTAAAGCCTTAATGCAGCTGCAGTTGTTTAACTAATTGAAAAGGGAGGTGTTAAAATGTTACTGGCAAGTAGAGCAACAGATACCTATGTAGCATAGAACATGAAACAGAAAACCCCATAATTATGTCCCATTTTTGCAGAAAGATAAAAAAAAAAAAAAAGCTCTTTAAGAGAATTACACTGCGCAACAAAGCTATTGCAAGCTGACTCTGAAGTGGGGTGGGACTTCTGGAAAGAGTCAAAGTTACTGTATTTTGGATCAAATACCATGGGAAATACAGACAGGTGAAGAATTAAAGGAAAACTCTGTATGGAAACATTTGCATTCCTTTGCCTCTTGAGTTGCTCATTTATTCAGAGCACAAGGGGGTCACTTAACGGTTTGATGAACATGAAAATTATGAAAATCATTTGGTATGCAGTCACCAGATCTCAACTAAATTGAACACCTATGGGAGATTTTGGAACAATGTGTTAGACAGACAAAAGAAGAAATGAGTGAATATATTTTTGAAGAGTGGTGTTCACACCTCCAGCAGAGTTTCAGAGGCTTGAAGAATCTAGACCAAGGAGATCTGAAGCTGTTCTGGAGGCTCACTTTACTCAAGACTTTTTATGTTGGCTTTGCCACCCATCTGTATGCACTTTACAAATCATCAAAGGTTTACCTATATTGCCAACCTCTAAATGTAAAGGTGAGGGGGAAAAAAAAAAAAAGAAGAGAAAGATATGAAGCCATAAAGCCTGTAGATTGTATGTGTACATGTGTGTCTGCGTGAGCCGAGTTACTGATGGACACAGACACCTGTGCTCCTGGCTCAGGTTCAGTGTGCAGCTGCTCCCTCACTTGAGAAGGCAGCAGTTAAAGTTGCTGCGCTCAGACCTTTGGTTAGTAGGGGGTGGACAGAAACCCAATACCCTCCCCACAAGAAGTTTGTCAATACGCGAAGGACAGTGGAAAACATGTTCCTGAATGCAACACACTGCACATCACAACAACCAGAGAGGGCCTATAACACAACGATGGCTTTTTGATCTGACACACAACAAACGAGAAGAAGCATCCTGTCATATATAATTTTGTGCAAATAGGAGTGTATCTCACTTCACACTAATGGTATGACGTCTGTGCAACTGAAGGTATTCACAACTACAGGGTTTGCCTAACAGTTACTAGCAGGTTTTAAGGCTTTTTGGCAGAGCTCTGCAGCAGAGCTGTTTTGGTATGCTATTGAATTTCAAAGCAGTAGCCAACCTTTCAAAATGCAACGTCTTGAATTCACTTTTGAAGTGCTTCCCTTGACTGACCCTACAGGTGAGCCAGGGCCTCATACTCGCTCCAGACTGGCTACTCTTGTTTTGGGTTAAACTAATAATGCAGTAAAGTTTATCTACAACTGTAGATATACTGGCCTTGTAATTCGGCACCAGCTCACTTTTATTCTTTCCACAGCTATTTGAAGGCCAAGAGACAGTCTGTCCTTACATCACTCACAGCACAGCTGATGCAAAGCCATAAATATCCCTCTGGGAAATGGAAAACCAAACCTGCAAGTATGTGGTCCCCCTGTAATGACTGCAGTGGAACACCTAACACTAACTCACCTTAAAAACTCTGCTGCACCGATCATAGTATAAGACATTCACATTCAACTAGCCACACAGGAAATGCTCCCTGCATGCAATTTATCAGTAAGTACTGAATTATTAATTCACCGCTCTAACAAGGACTCTTTCCCTGAGTGTGTGTGTGTGTGTGTGTGTGTGTGTGTGTGTGTGTGTGTGTGTCGGGGGGGGGGGGGGTAAGAGCATACAAGTGATATAGCAACAGATGGTCAGACAAACAGGTCAGAGAAACAGGAATAGAGGATTCAATGACGCATCCAGCTGTGGTGGTGCAGAGACATTAACAAATCTCCATAACTCGATTATTGACATGACATCATCTGTAATTTCCTCCGAACATTTAATTTCAGCGGTGTGGCATGTGTTTGGCGATAGAAACCAGATGGTGCTCACGAAGCTCAGTTATGGTATCATAATGTTTATGGTCTGGGGCAGATATATGGACAAGCTCCTCTGAGGAGTTGTAAGGCTGCCCCAGAATGGGGTAATGAAACAGTGTTAATGCCTTTCTTGTTGAAAGAGGATGTTAGGGCAGACATGCAGAGAGAGATATAATTTTACCTCTGTCTTCTCAAGGTCATGGAGGTCTAGAGAAATTAAAAAAAAAATAAAAAAAAGGGAGGCACCAAAGGGTGGTAAGGAAAGGGCAAAGAAACTGTAAGCAGTTTCTGGCGGCAGGACCCCGCCTGCAGGACGTTTAACCCATGTTTGACCCATACATGAGACGGCTGTTGGCGATAATCCTTTAGCGTTCACGGAGACTCAAGCCAACAACTGTAGATCCAGAGACACTGCCAAGACCATAGAATTACAGGGCAACCACATAAAGTTTCATTTTCTCTGGTCAAATCATTGGTTAAAGAGGTACTGATTTTACTAGTCAAGGTTAGTCTGAAAACATTTGTATAATGTCTCCTGTGACTTGGGAGGCGCTTTGAGAAGTGTGACAAAATAAGCCTGATGATACCATCAGGGAAAGACGCTATCGAGCTGCATTATGGTAAATGTAAGATCCAGTGGTTTTGGAGCTTGACACATCCTAGGGACCAATGTTGACTTTTTCTTTTTTTTTTTCAAATCCGTCTCTTGCAAGTCCCCAGACTATGGAAGTGTGATACCAAATCGTTGGAGTCCCCCTTTAAATACCATCTGAATGCCAATAACATTAAATTCCCAACCCGAACAGAAAAGTCAATTCACCAGTGCCAAGCAGCATTCAACATATGTTCGTCCCAGGCTGGGAGGAGGGTCAAAAAGCCAGGTCTACTGACACATAAAGCTGCACCTGGTATCACTGGGTCAATTTAAAGGGGTATATTGACATTTCAGTTAAGCAGAGAAATGCTTGTTTTCTCATTATTTTCCTGTATTTGTCCTTAATGGGATGGTGGGAATAAAGATTTCACTGGTTATTATCTACTAACACAAGGCTAAGAAAACATAAAAAGTGGTATATTGACTTTACAAAGAGTCAAATAAAAAAGGTACATATTTTCTCAGTTGATGAATGGGTGTGTCATATCATGCTAAGGTCAAAAACTTATTTTTCCTTTCACAGTTTGTCTTGGCATGGTCTCCGTTCCTCTGATCTCACTGGGAAAGTATTCCAGTGAGATTGAAGGAGTCCATCATATGCATGAGAAAAGTGAGCATGGAAGACATCTTAGACACAGAAAGGAGACAAGAGGATTGTCTGGTGGCAGCGACAGGGTGGCTATGAGAAAAATCCCACGAATGCTGAAAAAGCATAGCTTTTCAGGCTCACAGGAAGAGAAGGAAGGAAACCTATATACCAACACACATACACACAAACACGAAGTAACACATCTTTCCAAATCAAAACAAAGATTATCAGACTCCCCATTCACAGTACAACAAATTAAAGGGTTAAAGATGAAATACAAAGTTATTGATGTCACAATCTGCCATACCTTAAATGAAATAATAACCACAAGCTCTAAGCAAACCCGGTCTCAACAACACTAATTGTCATCAAATATTTGCAAAATACACTATTGATCATTCAGGAGTTATCACTTGCGATCTTTAAGCTGTGCAGCATTTTACTGAGCCCTTTTTTCTGTCACTCCACATGTTCTTCATTGTGTAATCGCTTTTAACCGACTGTCTGGGTTGAGCTCCTTATCTCATCAGCTACAAGCCAGTAAGGAAAGACCACACACTAAATTCATCCAAAGTAAGCCCACTGAGTGCAGGCCTGACTTTTCTTCCTGTTACTATGGGATATGCTATATCTTTGAGCTTTTAATTCCTATGTTGGGTTGTTTTCATCCTCAGCGACATTGTGATTCACAGTCCAGTGTTTTATGACAATAGCAGGGAGAGCCAACTGTCCCTGAGAGCTAAACAGAGAAAAATGTCACATCTTTACAAACTCTGTACCCCGAGGCCTGGTGGACCGCTGGAACAAGCCACAAAGATATTAGCCACGGACCAGACGTTAAGGCTCCAATCTTAGCAGTACTGTTTTTTTCAGAATGGGAGCCATTATCAATTTTACACCAAGCTGCCTAGACAGACCTGGGTCTAACAAAATGTATCAAAATTGGCAGGTAAAGGCTTTGCAATGCAGAAAATGAAGGTGTCAGTCTGGAAATAATCAGCATGCGTAATGTACCTGAATTGCAGAAAAACTGGTCTCCTGCACTGGCTGATTAGTCATGATAATTAAACTACAACTACTGACACACCCACTGACATTCACCCTACAGAACACCTTGCCCGTCTAGACTAAAATTCAACTAACAATTCAAAAAGTCAACTCCTATACCCCACCAAAAATCCCTGTTTTGTTTAGGGCCATTCGTCAAATGAGGTTTTTACATCCGTTTGGTCTTTTATGGGTAGAAGGAAATGTTTCTTGTCATGAATCCAAGGGGAACATTGTGTTTCTGACTGTGCTGCCTGCCAGAGAGCTGGGCAGATACAAGACACGTACTGACAAGGCTGGTGATAACTGCTGCCCTCACCACAGGATTACGTCAACTCTGCACACAACTCAATTCAATGCTACAACACACTGTGGACTCGATAGGCTATACTAATCAAAGCAACATAAAATAGTGCAACATTTGTTTGCATCTTAATGTTATATTATAGCTGTGACTTTTTGGCAACTACAAAGAAAGAAAGAATTGAAATTGTTTCAAAGACTATGTGGGGTAAACTTGTGAGGCAAAGGCCTGACCAAATATACTTACTTAATAACAGTCCCAGTAATCTCTAAAATGGGAAACCGCAACCACTGAACAGGATTGATAATTTAAAGAATTTAAAATCAGTCTAACATTTATAGATCACCCCCAACCTCTAAGGGAGCAATATAACAACGTCAATGGCGAATGAGTGCATAACAGAATGCTAGATCGGTGTGTGCAATAGCTGCCAGCAATGCTGGAATGATTGTGTGTGTGCGTATGTGCGCGTGGCTGCAAGTGAGAGTCTGTGTGTTTGTGAGGCAAAGAGGGACTGCACTTATAAGGCCTGGAAAGAGGTTGCTGCTCTCTTCAATAGCAACAGTAGTTTATAGAGTATTTGAAAATTCAATCAGTGAAGAAGTAGTGACCTAATATGGCGAGTACAAAGCAAGTCCTTGTGACAAATTAATACTATTAAAGGCACTGGATGTTAAGACTGACCGGTTATGAGTTAGTACATACTGTAATGAAAAAATAAAAAAATAAAAAAATTGTGCGTGATATGAAAATGAACACCAGTCTGCAAAAGATGATTCAGGTAGGGTCATTATGAGGGGAGCAAGACTACAAAACAGCAACATAATCTTGTAAATATGCAAAGATTTTTATATAAAAGCTTGGAGGGACATAAATTACTTTAAAAACGATAATTCTCTGTGCAAATCTTCAAGAAGAATGCAAAGACTTCAATGACAGATACAGAGTACACAGTGCAAAAACTGACTCCAATAATAAACAGTTTCTTACCCTTGATACGGTGAGGGGCATGCTGAAGTCCTTGCCACCCTGCAGCCTGAAGCCCCAAGGCGCTGGGCCGCTGAGGGTTACAGAGTATACGTTCATAGCCTTGGGGGAGACAAAGAAGGTCTTAATTAGTCAGAAAGCCTGGAAAAGGTTTGAGAGGCCCCACGTCCTATCCAAGCAGCTTAGCTGCTGGCTGTCTGATTGTTCCCAACACACAATTCATACAGATACTGATACTCCAGTGGTTTTCTTTCAGAGTTTATGATGTTAAATCTTGGAAAAGTTCAGTTTTAAGAATAACCATGTTTTATTAATTCAGCGAATTTGTCTTTTGGGAGAAAGAATAAATGCATTTATTTTAATTAGGCTATTTACATTACTTACAAGACACTGGGACACAATGTTCCTACATCAACACACAAACTAAGGGGTTGATATCACGTGCGACATAATCAAGAGTGTAACAAAAGTATACTAAAAAGCAAACGAGTATCACAGAAAACATCAGCATCATAAATCAACTGGACAAGAAGAAAAGCAGCTACATTCAACAGTTTCTCTCTTTTGTGAGAATAGCATCTCACTGTATTCAATTACTAAGTAAACCATTAAAGTGAACTAAAACAATATACTAGCCAACAACACACAAACATTTTTGAATATTTTAAACAATATTAACTGTGAAACCATGAAAACAGTGTCAAACATCTTCATCAGAGCCAATCACTGATATTTAAAGGCAAGTCTCTAAATAACTAAGCCACTTTAAGATCCAAAGGCAACTTGAGATGTAAGGCTATAAGTCACTTGCTTTTCATTGCGAGTTACATCTGTACCACTGCCCTCTGTCTGCACCCCTAACACAGCTCCCTCACTCCTCCTCAACCCTGCCAGGTGTCATTGCACTTCATGACAGACAGCTAGCTAGAAGACGCCAGAATGCAAACCTACCTCGTTCTCAAGGGCCGGCCGATAGCCCCAACCTGGGAGAAAGCTAGAGAGTCAGTAAGCTAGGGCAAGCAGATTCTCCCTCTGTTGGCAAACCCTACCCCCGACACTGTCTGTGACACAGTCAAGCCCTAGCCTCTCCTCACTCCTCAGAGGCTATATAAGGAATGTAAAACTACACCAAACTATTTCAGCCCAACACCCACATGAGTCAGGGGGGGCGGGGTAGAGGAGGACGGAGAGAGGCAACGTCAACTACCCCTATGTTCTGGCAAAAGCCTCCTACATAAACATCAATGGGGTTTTTTTTGTTTGTTTAAAGTGTACTTGAGAAGCGGCAGACGGCCGCAACTGAAGTATAAAATTCTACATTCCTTCTGGAGGGCAAGAAGTGCAGTACAACCAAACCAGCAATTATATTTCAACATCAAGTTCTTAAAGCAACAGAGGAGCTCACTTTATAGTAAAAATTAAATCAAGTGTGCTCATAGATTATCTTTCTTTTTGAAGCAATATGGTCCAGGTCTGCTTAAAGGCAACCAACCAAGCCCCCAAATAATCACCTCCATACCCGCAAAACCTGCTAATTTAATGGAAATCATTTTAAGAGTGTTCATTTGTATCCATGTATTGTGTTTGTGCACTAGTGCAAGACTGTCTACACACATTAAATTAAAATTACCAAAACTTGCATTTGTTTACTGTCACTTTTCTCATATTATACCTCCTACAGAGAAGTCAAGCAGCCAAGGAAATTAATTACAAGATAAACTGCTTGAGACAACAAATGGAAAGAGCCATAGCAGCAACAGGTAAATGGGGTTACATATTCCCTGTGATAGCTGAAAATGGATTATTTAGTTGGTTTTAAAACAGATAAAAATAAGACAGTGGAAGAACCACATGAATTTCAATGCATTTCAGTTACAGACCACCTTCTGAATTAAACCATTGGAGAAATGATCAAAGCAAATAAATCTGCCTGTGGTACTAATACAAGTGACTGGTCCCTGTTTATGGTATTGCTATTTATAATCTCCTATGGTGTCACTACAGTAGTTCTACAGGTACATGTACTTTTAATGTGAGTGTTGTAAATATCCTCAACTACACGGAATTATACACCAATTTCTCTTCTTTTGGCTAACAGGATACGCAATTACGAGCATATATATATATATATATATATATATATATATATATATATATATATATATATATATATATATATCACTGTCCAAGACAGTCATTCGCAACATGTAATTAAAAGCTCCATTCTGAACACTACAGAGTAATTAAGTTAGAAACACCACCGCAGTGCAGACTTTCAACTAAACCTTAACTTTCATAAAAGAAGTTAGCGAGATTGGACACGAAAACTGGATAACCTCTGCAGACCGACGGTGGTTCAGAGCAGCTAGCCAAAACCATAAAGTGCACAGCGAGGAGCACAACATAGCCACCATACAACTTCCACTGTGAGAAAAGTTGGCTTTCAAAAGTTACACCACACGCGACGGAAGGTATTTAGATGTCAAGACAAATGAATTAGCTTACCTCTTGGCCCCCCTGTTCTCCAGACATCACGAGTCAGTCTGCTACTGGTGAGAAAAAACAAACAAACAAACCAGTCAGTCGGTAAGCAGGCTAACTTTTCGGACTTCCTTAAAGCGGACGTCAGGAAGCCTCCGTGGATCCCCTTGGTGAGCAGCAGATCATTCCCTCAAATTCTTTTTAGCAGGACTCGACTGAAACGTCAGAAGTCACATGGGCCGCTGCTTCATTTCACACTCCGGCTGTGAACCAGGAGAGGCCGTGCTTTAGGCTTTACCAGACATCTCAGCTGCTAGTGCTGCTCAACATCAATCACAATCGCTGTAATCCCACTGAAAAAAACTAATCTTTGTCGACAGCACACCATTGCACAGATCAAACAAATAATATATAATCTCATATATAGGCTATATTGTTATTTTTCAAGAATAACTGGACTTTTAACAGACAGTTTGACAGGCCAACAAAGTGTTCAGTAGTAACCCATCACTATTTAATATTGATTAATAAATGGCCACAGGTGTGTGCAATCAACTAAAGATTAGGCAAATCATAAATAAGAAATGTTTACCTCTAAAGATCTCTCTGATTTGCAAATATAATTTTTAATCCACTACTACATGTATATGACAGCTATAGTTGCAGTTTACTTATTCATATTTTACATACAGAACATATAACGAGCTTTAAAGTATGATGTATTGTTATGGAATAAGTATATTTGCTTTCTAGATGTATGTAGCTGATAAGCAGTGGAGAACAGTAGAATTTTAACATGTTTTACATTTTCCTTAATAACTCACAGACTACTTGAGCTATACTAGTCATCTTTTGATACAAGAAATATATATGTGCACTAATTAATAATACATATTTTCATTTATAAGAACAAGACTATAATATTTAATTAAATGCAAGAAGTCAGAGTGTTTGTTACTGGGGGAAATTGTAACATTGAAAAATAAGTCATATTAACTCACTGTATCTCAAGTAAAAGCCTACCTCTAAGTATTTACTTTACTGCTAATCATGTTACTTAAGAGTTTTTTTTGTCAGGCATCCTCTACTAAGTTCTCTGTTCTAACTTCATAAAATTGCTTTTTACAACTGAACTAGTCATTCTCTTTGGTTTTGCTGGGTCTTATACAATCAACTTCTTTAAATCCACTATACAGACTCTCTGACAATGAAAGGAACTTTACTTTTACAGACTTAGGCCTATATAATATTCACATTTTCTGTTAAACACATTTAAAACACACATTATTTTATACAAAGAATGTTGGCCTATGTTAATTGGTGATTTGTTTATACTAGAACTAATCCATTTCTTTTAATTCACCCTTTTTAATGTAATTTTACATTTATATTTAGTGAAATGTGATAATTTATATTTATTAATAACAAAAGTATGTCAAAACAGACAAACAAGCTGCTTACATTGGGCCATGTGGCCAATGTTCCAGCATGATTAAATCTTGTATGCCCACTAGCCACAACTATATCAGCATAGTTTGTTAGTGTTAATTGTTAATCAATAACCTAGAGATAAAATGTATGTAAGTTTAAATTTGCAGTCATATAATCTTTAGACACCAGAAGAAAAATACTGTACCTCCAAAGTTACTTTCATACCTCAAAATCAATATTTTGTTAAAAACATCTGTTAAGGTGAACTGATCCTGCTCCTTTTCCACAGGCAGAGGCAGGATCCTATTGAGCATGTGCAGAGTCATCACTCTAGTTTAGTTCTGATTTTGAAAATTGAATGTGTTATAATTGCCCCCTGTTACAATCGTGTTACCCCCCGGGTAACTTTTTGAATGCAATACTTCTATTTGTAAAAGTTGCCTGTTACTTTGAAGATTAAAATTTTTTCAAAAGGGGTTTAAAAATATATATATTGGAATAAACCAAATAGTACATAATAAATCTTAAAAAATAGTTCCACCTCGATAAGCAACATTATACCAATGCTGGATACCGCTTTCTAAAAGGACATCATTTATGAATGTTGAAGTTGTAACAAACGTGTTTTTTTTTATATATTTAAATTTAAACTATTTAAACTCTTTTTGATTACTCATGGGTTATTAGTAGGAACAACTTAAAGGTTGCCAAAGTAAAAAAAAACATTTGGCTAGTTTGTCTTTCTTTACAAGGAAGAAGGAAGAAACACTCAAATGTTTTCTTACTATTTTTTCATGGTGTTATAGTTTTAAGAATCTGAGAATCTTCAATACTGTTGATGGATAGTCTATAGATATATAGCGCCTTGTTTGTCCTCTATTTCTCGATATCACTGGAACTCTGGCACACACACATTTTCGAGTGGCCTTTTATTGTGGCCAGGCTAAGGCACACCTGTGCAATACCCATGCTGTCTGATCAGCATCTTGATTTGCCACACCTGTGAGGTGGATGGATTATCTTGGCAAAGAAGAATGAGTGTTTATAATTTTGTTAAGTATATAATTGTTACATTATTTGGATAATAAACACACAAAAAACAGCTCTGTCTAATTCTGACCCACCTCAGTCATGCTGCTGCCACACTTCCCCTCCACCTGCTATTGTGCTCCTCTACAGGAGAGACCTTCCGTGTGACTACTTTATATTAGGACTGTGGGATTATAATACAGGCCTAGCCCAATTTTCCATATTATAATTGCGATTTAATAGATCTGCTGTTAATATATATTTTTGTTTAGGCTTGTTATTTTAATGAATGTGACACTAAAAATCAGTAGTGTGACTTTTGATCAAATGCATCTCAAGGCCTACTGACACTATGCAGCAGATGACCGGCAGATGGAGACAAACCATAAGAAAAGGGATTGGTACCCTCAGGGTGCTGCCCTGCTCCATCATCAGGCTGTACAAGTGAAGAAATCATGAATCATCAGTGAGGGCCTTACAGTCAAAACGCAGATTTTTTTTATTACAGACGATTTATTTGTTATGCGTTATTGTTCACAGTACAACTACTTCTACTCTACTTTGAATAGCTGATATTCCACTGAAATATTTAATTTGGTATTAACGTTGCAGTTGAACTGGTCGCCTAATTTTTGGGTCACGTTAGCTAGCTAATCCTACCGAGCTCAGTTAAACTTCGAAACACTTTTGTGAAAGATGGCTGACAACGGAGCACACCCGGCCGAAGAGGACCCAGCTGCAGCTTTCCTGGCTCAACAGGAGAGTGAGATAGCGGGGATAGAGAACGACGGCGAAGGGTTCGGGGCGCTGGAAGGAGCGGGCGGCCACCAGCCGTCTCCGCCGCAGTCGGTCAACTATGGCAAGTTTGTGACTGAGCTAATGTGAGCTTCGGCTGGCAAGCAAACAGAGCTAATAATTCAAATAATTAAAAGCTAGCTAATATGTGACTGATAGTAGTTAGCAAACAATGGCCATATTCCTATATGTTAACAACTGCATCGCTAGTATGTTGTGTTAGGTATGCATCAGTTAACTTAGCTTAGTCTAGTGGACAGTTAGCATTATAGCTTAACTTAGCTAACTGACGGTAGTGCGTTTGTTTGTACACTGACAACATCCGTTAGTAAACGTTAGTAATCACACAACAAAACCTCCTAACGTTTGGACGTTATACTAACACTGCTTACGAGCAAGCATGTATAACGTTAACGTTATATAGTAACGCTAACTTTATACTTAAATAACGTCAGGAGTAAATGAGCTAAATAATGTTAGCTAACGTTCACTGTTCGTTAACACCTTTCCGGAAAAACCTGTCCTGTCAATTGACAAAGCTGCACTGACAGCTCCTGTGTCCAAACAGGTGCTGCTGCATTTCTGAGGTCTGAGCCTATAGGAACAAAATGCCATTGTAACATTTAGTAGTGACAAGGAAGTGTAACGTAAGCTAAATTAAAAACTGCCTATCTTAACATTAAACTTTGTTTTCTTATATAAATGTCAGACGGTTTCGAACAGGAGCTTGCCGCGGTGAATGGGGATATGTTTCAGGTGAGCATTACACATATCTGTAGCCTGTTTCTTAAATTATATTATTATTAATTAGTCCATCCCTTTGTATGTGTGGTTGAGTTTTATTCTGAACACCATCAAATCATTTCATTGACTTTCCCTTTATTTTTTGTATTGGCATTCCTGTATTTTACAATGTGATAGATTTACCATCTACCCAGTATTTGAATCAAATAACTGTTTTCTGTTTTCCAAAAGGAGTCCAATGGCCCAACAGATAACTACGCAGCGATCGCCCAGGTGGATATTCAGAGGCAAGAGCCAGAGAGTTTACGCAAGTGGAGGGAAGAGCAGAAGACTCGCCTTGAGGCGTTAGGTGAGCTAAGATGTTGTCATTGGGGAATGAATCATACTGTGAAATGCACATCCTACTTTACAGCTGTACTGAGCCACTGTGATGGTGTCATTTTGTTGTGTATCTTTTTGCAGTTTACCTTTTAAGACAGATGATGCAACATATCTAAATTTGTCACACAGACCTACTAATAAGTCAGTTCTTTAGCTCAAATTTCTTTTGAGGAATCTCTGACTAGGTTGTTCTCTGTTGTTACATCCTAACAAGACTCCGCATCCAAGGCAGCAGAGGCTGAGTGGAGAGAGAAAGCCAAAAAGGAGCTGGAGGACTGGCATGTACACCAGCATGAGCAGATGGAGAAGAACAAGGCCAACAACAGGTTAGTGTCTGACATGTCCCCTGTTAGCATGCAGAGAAGTAACAGTTGGTTTATCATTATGATGTGACGATGCTTTAATCACCACACTGACCTGTAGCGACATACACACTATATCAGCAATGCTTTATCACATTATGTGGACTTGAAGATATTTTGTAAACTGAATGTTTAATGAGTGATATAGAAAATTGAAGCACTTGTGTTGGACTTACTGCACCAAGGGATCAAATGTTTGAATGATTGGTGTGGTGTAACCGTTTCATGTCTAAAAGTATATAAAGTGTTGCTTATAACAGAAATTCTGTGTATTATTTAAAGATTGTTATTTTAGCCTGGTTGCAGTCAATGGTGTATGTTAACTCTTATAAAAATATCGCAGCCTCTCCTTTTCTTGACCAAGCTAATCCATTCTTCTCTCACACTTTCCAACAGACTCTGTCCAAGTCTGGCACGGTATCACACTGCATCTGGGGCTCTAGTCTTAGCCGGTTTCTTACATTGTGTCTGTGAAAGCGCTGAGAGACAATCCTCTGATGAGATATTAGTCTACAGCTGTGTGTCCGGTTAGAATGCCTGGAAAACAAAACAGGAAGCCAGCTAGCTAGAAGGAATGCAAACACCAGGGAGCAAATGTCACAGTTTCCGCCACAGCCCAGCACCCAAGCAGTCTGTAGCTGCCTGGATTGCTTCACTAGTCCAAGCTTGGTTATTGGAAACAGTGCACCAGAAATATTCAGTCCTTAGACCATTTAAATCTTTTTATTTCCACCTCATTAGAACTGTTTCTCAGTCTCTTACATAATCCTTTTAATGCAAACCCTAACATTTCTCTGCTTGTTGTTTGACACTGTTTTCCTTTCTCCTTCTTTTTTCCTGCTTTCTTGGCCTTGCCTGCGTACTAGGATTGCTGACAAGGCTTTCTACAAACAGCCCAACTCTGATGTTATAGGCTTTGTGTAGGTTTAGAATTCTTATGCTTTTATGCTACCCCAGAAAAAGCAGTTGTGGATTTTCACCTGATGCATGCCTAAACACTAAATTTTGTTTTTGAAGGCTAACTTGGTATTTCTTGCATTCATATGTGAGGTTATATAATAAATATATTAAACTTATTGTGATTAGTATAAAGAAATGCATGACGTCATTGTGAATCTTTTACGCAGGTGCTATTCATGTAATTGAACTGTGTGGTTGAGCACCGTGTTTGCCTCGGATGGGTTTTGCTGTTATGGGAACTGTTCTGAAATCCCTCTAATATTAATATGTCTTTTTTTGTGGTCTCCCTCCCAACTGTAGAGCATCAGAGGAGGCGTTCCTGGCAGAGAGCGATGGCGACAGCCCAGGATCTGAATGGGAAAGAGTAGCCCGTCTCTGTGACTTCAATCCGAAAACCAACAAACAGGCAAAGGATGTTTCACGAATGCGTTCTGTCCTCATCTCTCTCAAACAGACACCTCTAGTTCGCTAGAGGAGGTCACGGGGAGAGTTTTGTTCTTAAAACATTGCCTTTCAGTTTTAACCTCACGCTGCATCAGAAGAGTTTCTATTCCCTTTTCCATAAAATTCCTGGTATGTTTATAATCTTTGAAAACTTCCCGCCTTTCTTGATGCCTATATATTGAAATAATATACTTGACCCCACTCTCATGTGAGAAGATGAAGGCCTGCTCTAGTGTTACGACATCCTTTAGCTGGTCAGTTTTATCACTGCTATACTTAAGAAAATACTGTTACTTTAAGTTAAACATATTACTTCCCCTTTAACTTATTAGGTCAACTTTATTGCATGCCTCTGCCAATATTTTGGATGCACAGTTTTTTTGTTTTATAAATTAGCATTTTGGTTTATATCAAACACTTAATTAAGCATATTAGATTGTAACCACGTATGCCTCTCATCTATGTAGAATTCTAAATACAGCTTTTGTTAACATTTGTTGTATTATATCCCTAATTACCATATGTAACGTAGCTAGCATATTTTTCTCTTTCAAATGCATATGCTTGTGGCCTTTTTGATGTAGCGCTTAATCCAGTTTGAGTATTTAGCCAGATGGATTTCCTCTTCAATTGGGCAAGATTTAAGAAAAATAAAAATTCACAACCAAAGATTTCATCTAAATTTTTAAGATTTCACATGATCAGCAGCTCGTGCAAGTTCTCATTTCACTGATTTTCTCAGCAGACATGTTATGCTCCCATGTTTTTGTTACACCAATGTGTTCGATTTTTTAAAAACAACAATCAATAAGGTGTCAATATCAACGGTAATGTCTGCACATTGTTTCACATGTTGCCTATTCGGACATAATGAATATTGAAATAAGTGAATGTTAAAAGGGAACTGAAAAATAAAGACAATGGAGTTTGATCACTTTACAGTTATTTGTCCTCAAGTATTTCGCAGCTAAGCCTGCCATCACAATGCCCTGGAGATGATCACCTGTATCCCAGTTTGCCCAGTTCATGTGTGAGGAGCTGAAATTGTGTGGCCCTGTCAGTGCCAACTTCCACCCTTGCATACTCAGATGCAGCCTGTTGAAGGCCGTGCCACTTTGTGTTTGAGGGACACTTTTTAGGGTTCAGTCTATGTGAAAAGTGCCCTGATGTCTGTTATGATTTGGCGCAACTGAAATGATCAAGGATCTTCAAGTGAAAGTCTGTTGTGTTTAAGGTGGACATTGGTGGACTGGGCCCATCTTGTGTCTAAAACCCTCCCATTTAGATCTACTCACCCAGGCCAATTAATATAAAAACTCTGTTCACATTTCATTTCCCCGCAGATTTTTTTAATTTTTAAATAAAGGTTGTATACAGAGTAGAGGTCTACAGTTCTGTGTGTGATGCTTTATCTCAAATACACACAGGGACACCAGATTCAACTTAAAATTTCTATCAGAGGACAGGTGTTCTCTGTATATTATTTCAATGACAATACACAGAAACATTTGAAATATAACCTTCCAGAAGAGCAACGAGCACAAAGCATATGTTTTATATTTATCATCATTTTGCCTCAAGTGTCTTAGAGCGCAATAAATTTAAAAATAATTTATCATGCTTTGTCTGATAAGGAGCTGATTATACTTTGTTGTTGCAAAACATTCATCACCGTGAGCATTTCACAGTGGTCAAACAACAATAGTGTTGGCCTTAACATAGGTATCACACAAAAACACATTAAGTTCACTCCGTAAAATCAGTCCACTGTTAAGTTTGCCCCGCTCTGAATCCCGAGCTGAATGGCAGAGCTATGGGATTGGTCCGTCTTTATTGCTTGGGGTTCAGCCCTGTGGCAAAGACACCAACAACAATGGCAACTACAGTGAAGCCCTGAGCAAAGATACGCCCCCTCATCAACAGCTGGGACTGTCTGGTTTTCCCTTGATGGAAGGCACGGAGACCATACATCAGCGCTCCTGCTGTTCCCACACAACCTGGAGAAAGCAAAGCAGAACTTATAAACAGGATGTGACAGAACAATGCAGGTACTGGACGGGTTGACTATCCAAGAAGAAGGTAAAAGGTGGTGAGAAAATACTCTTTAATGTCATATAACGTTAACATTGCAGCCTTGTCCTTTGGTACAACGAGTATATTCAGACACCTATTGGCTATCAGGGTCACATTTATTAAAACAAAGGACACCAAAGGGGTTACAACCTTGTAACTTGAAACCTACAGTGCATTATGAAAATAACTACAATACTAAGAGTGAGAAAGTGTATTTTTGAGATTTGGGTTACCTGAACCTTGAAATAGTATATCAAGGGCATCGCGGCTCCTCAGGGTTTCATATTAAAGGCGAGGTCAAACTACACAAAAACTGATTTGACTCGGCTTCGACTAAAGTTGAATCATTCGTTAACGAGACTCACACGACTACAAGTTTTTTCTGGCGGTGACAAACAAACTTACAGCTAGGTTAGCTACTTTTCTCTCATGTTAGCTTACGTAAATTACTATTGACCTCACGATAAGAGTGTGTTAGAGCTTTAAATTATAACCTTTTATACGGTCTATGATGCTAACGCGGAATTAGATGTTTATTTGACCACACGGTAGGAGAAAAGACTACATGTAACGTTACTGCACTTCTGTCAGTGTCACTTGGCCCTGCAGTGAGTTACCCTGCTTGTGTAACTCACCTAATGGGACGAACGGGTTCTCCTTGGTTTTTCTAATAAATTTATCTTTGAAGGTCTCATCTTTGATCTTCGGCAGAGGGTTGAAGCCTTCGATGACCGGGGGCTGAGAAAAGTCAAATGGTACTGGTCCTGACCGCAGTGTTTCAGGTGTTTGCTCAGGGACCGTTGGTGTTGCTGTCGCCGCCATGCTTACCTTGTTATAAAAACTCAGGAACTGAAGAACTACACTTCCGGTTACACTTTGCCCTCATCCTTCACAATAAAACGACATTGTTTAAAACATCATGAATGAAAGGAGTGTCAGTGGCGTTCCCCTCCTGCCGTCTGCCATGTTTGCATTGTCAACATTACACACGCACTCTTCGAAGAGAAATGTTAAAAATGTCAATGTCCATTTAAGTTCTACACATAAACAATATGGTTCGCATTAATGCAAGAGGGCTGGCGATACAGCCTAAAAAAAAATGTGAATGATAGACTGTAGCTTACAGGATCACATAATCATTGTACAATAATACAAATTAGATATTATGTTCCAAGGAATTAACCAATCTATGATGTCCTAGGACCACATTCTGTTTAATGATTAAATGCTTGCCAGACAGGGAGATTACTGATAGTTCTTACCACTAAGCGGCAGTACTGGGTAAAGTTCAGTGTTACACAACCATCATTTAATATCAAATAGATAAGTGGTGATGTTGTATTTTGGGTTGGAAACATGCAGTTTTATGGTGTTAGGTCAGATTCCATTGGGCATGACAATGAAGCCCTTCCAGCTAGCTCAATTCTAACTTAAAAGCTAAAACTAAACTACAAAACTAAACACATATCTTGAAATGACTACCAAAGTCTTGATGTCTGTTAAAGTCCATCCATGAAAATAAGTAAAGAACAATGTTACATAAAACAGCACACAAATACTTTTCAATCTTTTTATTGAATATTAAGGTAAATATTTCACATTAATACAGGCTACATAAAGTAGAGCCACTATACGACATGAAATTTACTCTCATTTTAACCCTTTTTAGTATGTAAACAATTATACATGTATTTACCACTCTAAAAGGTTCTGATTTCTCTTTAGGTAATCATCATCTAGTTCTGGGCCAAGTTTAAATAGCTACTTCATGTTGAGCCCCCTGCAGCCCAAGAACGGCATATGTGGGTTTAAGTCAAAATCGCTAAACTACGCAGAGAATGGATCCTGTTGAACAGGTGATCGCGCATGTTTGTTTGCATCATCAGGACACTGATAACAGCCCTCGCCCAATTTCCCCTTTACTTGTTTGAGATAGGCACATCAAAGAATGGCGTCAAGAGAACTTCCAATTCTTCAACCTCTGCTCCACACTCTCAGGTCTCTACAAAAGTTAACATGTTGTAAGGTTTTCTTTTTTTTCGTTTGTCTCATTCGGTCATATTCGTCAGTTGGTTTTTCATGTTTGCGCTGTGGGTCATGCTGTGTGCGTTTGATTGCTGTGGACGCGGTCTAGTTGACGTGGTTCAGGTGCACATTGCCCACATGAGGTGCCCAGGTACCAGGCCACACCTGAAGAGAGAGGGGACCAATAAGTGGTATATGTTAAAACAAATGTAGTCAAACATTTTATCAGACTAATGGCAGAAACACAAGCCTAACAGTTTGACTCTAAACATGTGAGGTGACAGCATGGGTATAATAAAAGAGGACAATACCTGCTGTTGTGGGTCAGAGTTATCTGCATTATTTGGGACCACTTTGATAATGGGGCTCCATGCGGGGTCACCAGCGTGCAAACCATTGTACATGGGTCCCCCTGGCCCCTCTGCCATGGGAGGATGAGGGGGCAGCATGGTTCCTCCATACATTGACATAGGCATCCCCTGAACAGACAAAAAGTAAAAGTTCTTAGTAAAAGATGTGTCTGGAAGAGAAACTGGGGTTAAATCATCTACAGTGTGGTGGCTTTGTGTTACCTTTGGGAAGTCCATGTAACTGTTGGGCAAATGCTGAGGCTGGTGGTAGTTGTTGGCAGGGTTTGCGATGCCTGTGTCATCCTGCTCCATGGGCTGGTGTTGAGAGAAAGCCGACTGCTCTGCCTGCAGCTGAGGGTGCATCATGTGGCTGCTCATCAGAGGCTGGGACCAACCAGACATGGCCTCTGTAACAAGACACACAGGGGTTTAGCATAATTAATGGATATAAGTTACTAGTGCACAGTAACTGAGATTTAAATATCCATTTGTGTTTAAATGACACAAATAGAATTAAGACAACGGGGAGAATGTACTAACAAAATAAAAAGGAAAAACATAATTTGCTCTTACCCGAAGCACTGCCAACCCCGAACGACCAAATGCCTCCCTGTCCAACAGATGCTGTGTAGCTGGTGGTGAGGAGAGGTGGGTTGACAGAACCCGTCTGCCTGATCCTGGCCAGCCGCTCTGTGCCAATGGGTGGGGGGACCTTCCGGTCCTGCTGCGAGGAGCTGCCTGGCTTAGGCTGGGGAGGAGGGGCCACAGCTGAGGTGGAAAGGGCAGAAGATGACACCGTAGAGGGAGGTGGGACAGGAGATTCACCTGGTGGAGAAGAGACAGTAAAGGAGGAAATTGTTAGGAGCAGTTCAGATGTACGCATTCGAAAGTGTAAAAACATCAACAAAAAACTAAATAAAAATTGTAATAATCCAGTGAAAATTTCATGAATTTAAAGCTGGGGTAGGCAATTTATTTTTATTTCAGAGGCATTTTTTATTATTTGTTAAAATTCTCTTTACATAACAAAGATTCGGTATCCGTGGCTGTTGCAGGACTTTTATAAGCATGGACTGTCTACCTGCGCACTCTGCCCGTGCACATGAAAATATGTTTTCAGGGAGTGGCAGTGAAGGGAGATCTGAAGGGAGGGGGTGGGATTTTTTTTGGGTTGGATACTTTGAAAATGTAGCAATCTTTTGCTAGTTTCTCTGTTACCTACCCCAGCTTTAAAAAGGCTTACAGATAAAAACATACCAATATAAAAAGAGCAGTCAAATAACTGCTTGTCTAAATAGATAGTTCAAGGCAGAAATGTTATAAGAAAATCACAACGAAAAAGAGCGTGAGCCTAGTACCTGATGTGGATGCACTCCATGGGTGAGGGGAAAAGTGCTGTCTGCTGAATGAGGGTGTGCCAACCCCTGTGTGACCGTGCAGATACACAGGGCTGCCAGACATACTGGTGGCATAGCTGGTCAACGCTGTGGGTGTGACAATTAAAGAAACAGCTCATCAATGAGCTCATGAAAAATAGTACCACAACTTCCCCTTACTAAGAAATATAAGGCCTTATTTTAAGACATGTTTCTACTATGCTACCTTTTCTCACATATATATTTTTCATTATATTTGGGTGCATATATACTGTTGCTATCCCATTCTGATGCTGTTTTAGTTAGGTTCCTATTTAAAAAGGTTCCTCTTCTTAATCTATAAAGTCAAATAAAAAAAACGCATACCGATGGGGCTGTTGACCATCCTCTGTGAGGCAGAGCGGTAACCAGGGGCTTTAGAGCTGTCTGGAGGAGGTGGGGGCATCATATTCTCCATCTGGCTCATGCTCATGTAGGCTGGTGGGGCTGAGTAAGACTGCTCTGGAGGTGATCGAGTTGGCAGATGGCATGCACCCCAAACCTGATTGTTTCCAACCTGCAAGGCAAGCACAATTGATAACAAAATTAGAATTATTAGGTGCACGGCTGATCTTATGTAACAGCAAGGAGGGGAAAAAAAGAAAAGTAACCATGATATTTGTACTGTTTAGTTAAATCCCTTTATTGCCCCCGTGTCATGTGAAGCCACTGCATAAGAACAGCCAAAAGTAAAAGAAAGATGTCTAGAGTAAAGTTTAAATTCTAAGTGTTACTTCAACTCACCTGGCTATTGTTATCGAAAATGCTGCTGAAGTTGAAGAGGCCTGCAGGACCGAAGTTGGGGGGTATCTGCTGAGGCTTGCCTGCATTGGCCACGTGCTGCATCTGGGAACCGTTCATCATCCCCAGATTAGCAGAGACCTGAAGGGAGCCGGGAGCCTGAGCTTGAGCTTGGGTCTGGGCTTGTGGAGGCAAATTTGTGGGCTGGGACGTCTGGTTTTGGTTCTGTTTTGGGGGTTCTTGCTGAGCATTGAACGGCACAAATTGCGGTTGCTGCTGTTGTGTCTGTTGCTGCTGCTGTTGTTGCTGCTGCTGCTGCTCAGGAAGGGAATAGTAAGGCCCTGGTGGCTGCATACGATGAGAGACTCTGGGGGCAGGGGCTGAGAAGTGGGGTACAGTGTTGTTCGGGTGTGCAACATTGTGTGAGAGGACAGGAGCAGGTGCTGAAGAGAGGTGGGAGCTGTGCTGTGGGTTGAGGAGGGGTGGTGTCGCCTCTGAGGATGGTACAGAGGAGGGAGGGGGAGGTAACTGCTGTCGCGGCTCTGGCTTGGGAGGTAAAACCATGGGGGAAGTGAAACCCACAGAGTTGATGCTCTCACTGACAGAAACAGGCTGGTTCTCTACAGGTAGAGAGGGCCTGTCTTTTCCAGGAGGGGCAACAGAACTGGGCTCTGTTTTAATTGGCTGGATGGCAGGTTGTGAGATAGGTCCGACTGACTGCTGAGGGGCATTAGCGGGAGCTGTAGTGGAACTGTGATGTGCAGGAGAACCTGTGCCTCGTACTGCATTGCTGCCACTAGTAGAAGTGGCGACAACAGACACAGGGATGACACCAGCAGGCTTGGAGTCAGGGGCGAAGAGCTGTTTTCTGACCGAGGAAGGAGTGGGGATGCTCGGCTGGGGATTGTAAGGGGTAGGATTAGGGGTATGAGGCGAGGCTGCAGCTGAAGATGTGTTAGGTGCACTGGTGGTGGCGGTGTTGGTGGTCGTGACCGAGGCTCCTGAGCTGGCTGTGTTGCTGTGCTCAGTATGGGTCGAGTTGGGTCGAGCCTGGCCTCCAGTGCTGTTGGTCCCTCCGTTGTGTTTGGGGGAGCTGTTAGCACTGCCGGGACTCACAGGACGCACAGGGAAGGGTCCCCAGGTGCTGGCAGCAGGAGAAAAGGTGCCACCAAACTGGGCCATGGGTAGGCGAGGGTGTCTGATCTGGTGCATGGTCTGAGCAGCCAGTAGAGCCAGCTGAGGGTGGGCGTATGCCAAGGGCAAAGACACAGGGAAAGGCTGTCTGACGTTTGATGACAGCCCCTTCCCAATCTTTCCCCCGGCCT